TCCTATGACTCGTTTGACTCGGAAAGGGATCAAGTTTACGTGAAATGAAGCCTGTGAGTTATCTTTTCAGGAGTTGAAGACAAGATTGACTACAGCTCCAGTGTTGGTTACCTGAGCGTGGCTTGGGTTATGTGTTATATTGTGACGCTTCCCGTGATGGTTTAGGGTGTGTGTTGATGCAGGATGGTAGAGTAGTGGCTTATGGGTCTCGGCAATTGAAGACTAGCGAGCTTAACTACCATACTCATGATTTGGAGCTAGCGGCAGCTGTATTTGCCTTGAAGTGTTAGAGACATTACTTGTATGGTGAAAGATTCGAGGTATACTCGGATCATAAAAGTCTCAAGTACCTTTTCTCCCAAAAGGACTTGAACAATAGACAGAGAAGATGGGTTGAATTCTTGGAGGACTACAATTTTGACTTACAGTATCATCCAGGCAAGGCAAATGTGGTAGCAGATGCCTTAAGCCGGAAATCCCGTGGAACTTTGGCTAGTCTAGCTATTCGGAAATGAAAGATGCTTAAGGATTTGGCAGAGATGGGATTGTATTGTTTTGATGACGATGTTGACAGTGAGCCAGCATTCTTGTTAAGTCTTGTGGCTCAGCCTACTCTTGTTGTACGAGTGATTGAGTCACAGAGACAGGACTCGGATTTAGATGCCATTCACGCTTTGATCTCCAATGGTAAGACAGTGAAAGATTGGGCCTTGCATGCAGATGGGGGTCTACGGTTCAGGGGTTTGTTGGTAGTTCCTACGGTTTATCGTGAGGACGTCTTACGGGAGTTTCACACTTCCCGCTTTGCAGTTCATCCAGATGGTACCAAGATGTATCATAATTTGAAACGTCAGTATTGGTGGAACGGGATGAAGAAAGATGTTGCACAGTTTGTGACTAGATGCCTTACCTGTCAGCAGGTGAAGGCCGATCATCAGAGACCAGTCAATTTATTGCAACCATTGCCTGTAGCGCAGTGGAAATGGGAACATGTAGCTATGGATTTTGTGGCAGGACTTCCAAGGTCACGGAGGGGCAATGAGGCCGTATGGGTCATCATTGACAGATTGACCAAGACGGCTCACTTTTTGCCTATTAAGGCAACAGATGATGCAGAGAAGCTTAAGTTAATAAGACAGAGGTAACTTACAGCTCAGAGCCGACAGAAGAGTCATGTGTATGAATGTGAGTTGTTTTATGTGTAAAGCATACTTAAATATACTTTGTTGTATCTTAATGTGTTAATAATTACTTGGGAGATGTTGAACATGTTGAATGTTTAATTTTATGGTGTAGAATTTTAAATGCCATGACATTGAATGTATGGAACATATATACATGCATATACTATTGGGTTTGCATGAAATGGGAGAAATTGTTCTTGAAATAAATATGGGGAATTTCAGGGAAGTATTTTTGATGAGATGGTTTTATGTGAAACCCGGTCGCTGCGGGATTACCAACGGGCCGGAGGTTAATATAACCTAGAGGGGACTAAGGAGTCGTCCTTGCGTGGTTCAGCTAGCTGGGCCCCATAATGACGCCGCGGGGTTACCAAGGGTCAGGGACACTAGCCAATCCTCCTCTCGTGTCGCGGCGAGGATACCAAAGAGCGGGCTGTATTAACAGTTTAGAAACGATGTTTTGGATTATGAAAATGGGGAGCGACACTAGCATGCATTGCATCTCATTGCATTGCATTAGATATACTTGAGATTAAATCGTTATGCTGTATTATTTCCTGACATTGTATGATCCCCATTTCCCATTGGCCTATGCTTTGTTTAGATTCACAAAGACACAAGATGTGTGTCTTAAGTGTCACCTACTGAGCTTTATGCTCACCCTACTATTTATATTATTTTTTTTCAGGTCTTGGAAATAAACCGGTGGACGACAATCCACCTCAAGTTTGAAAGTTGTTAGAAGGTTGTTTGCTATTTTGTATTTTGACCATGCTATGTATATTTATAGTTGTGGAAATGTAACTAAGTTAGTATTCATGGCCTTGTAACTTAAGAACGAATTTATTTTTTGTTTGATGTAAATGAAACTAATTGAATTATGGTATATATTTCTATGCAATTGTATCATATAACGTTGTAAGACAGGGACTTTAAATCTTAAACATGTATTTCGGGACTGTAATTATGATAATTTAGATTAATTGGTGTATGGATGTTCCACCATGAGAGAAACTATGTTGAGGTATAATGAACGGATGAATGGGATGCTGGAGTATATTATGTGTTTTGTGTATTAGGACAGGTTGTTAAAGGGCCATATTTAAGGGAGGTTATACCGAATTTTTTTTAAAATTTTGGCATCAGCTTGGGTCGTTACAGGTGATTTCAATTAACATTAAATGCGTAACACTTAAAAATTCAAAGACACATTAAAAAAATTTTCTATGGCTTAAAAGTATTTACTATTAAAATGTATAGTACTTATTTTTTTTTTTTATCCCTTGTAAGCCTTATACCATCAGTCTCTCTCCACCCGCCTTTTCTACATCACCGCTCTTTATTTATAAAATGATTAAACGTGAATTTCTAGAATAATTATACACCATCATCCCTTTTTTCCCAATGGTGAAGTAGCTTAGGCCCCGTTTGGGAAGTGTAGTGTGATGTAGTGTACTGCTCTAGCTTAGAACAGAACAAGTGTTTTGTAGTGTGATGTTCTGAAACGAGAACAAAACATGTTTGGTGTTCCATATTTGTTCTGAGAATTTTGAAACAAAAACATGGTAGAACATGTTTGGTGTTGTATATTGTTCTAAGAAATATAAGAACAAAACATGTTTGGAAGAATAAAAGTATAACCAAAATCACTAAAAAAAACAATCATGAAATATATATATTTTTTAAGTGACAAATTCCAAAACTATAAGTTACCAAAAAAAATTGTTGGGTTTCCTTTGTTAAAAAATTACCAATAAAAACTTGTAAATATTACCAATAAATTTCATTGCATGAAATTAGTACGAGTGTTGGATTTTTTTAATTAAAAAATTACCAATAAAAACCTGTAAATAAAAAATTTGCTTCTTCAGTACCTTTTTACTAAAAATAGAAAAACAAATTTAATCATATATTATATTATCTAATAATAAGTCACAATTATTTTCTTTCTCCATTTAAATTTAAATTTTTTAAATTTCAGATGGACAAATATAAAAAATGAGGGTTCAAGCTATTTTGATATATATATATATATATATAGAAAAACAAATTTTATTATATATTATATTATATAATAATAAGTCATATACTATATTATCTAACATTTTTTTAAAAATTTAAGATAATATATATATATATATATATATATAATTGTCTTTTGTGCATTAAAGTATGCAAGAGGACAGAAATTAGCTGGATGGAGTTTTTACGAAAATGGAGAGAATTCGTTATTTTAGAGTGAGATATGCACAGTTCATTTTCCTTTTCCATTTCCATTTCCATTTCCATTTCCATTTCATGTTTTATTAGGAGTTAATTTGATAATCATGGTCTACGCAAGAGATTTGAAAAAAGTGCAAGAGATTTGAGAATTTGGATCAAACAAAAATTCAGTTAAAAAAACGCAGACGTGGGGTTCGTCGGAATTGGCAGACGAGAGCGCACAAGAGCTCGCCGGAGTGACAGATCTACGCGCCGAAGCTTTGGGTTCACCGGAAAACACAAAGGTGGGGTTCGTCGGAAAACGCAAAGCTGAGATTGTTCTTAAAAGAGAAAGGGGGGCAAGTTCACAGATTTGCTAGATTTTGTAGTTTGCAATTGCAGAGAGAGAGGGGGCAACTTCAGAATTGAGAACGAGAATAGAGATGGAGGTGGGTCTCGAACTTCTGATTCTTTTAGATTTTGTAGCTTGCAATTGGAGAGAGAGAGGGCAAGTCAGAGTGTTTTTTCAGAAATTAGGGCAAGTTCACAATTGAGAACGAGAATAGAGATGGAGGCAAGTTCATAATTAGGCTGTTGTTCTAAGAATTCTTAAATATCTAAGAATTCCTGCACTTTGGGCTGTTGTTCTCCTTTCTACAGTGAATAGTGGGCCGGCTGAAATTTGGGAACACTTTGGAACATGATTTTTTTGTTCCGGAAATTGGCACAAAAACAGAAATTGTTCTAACACTGTTGGACACAATACAGTCCATACCAAACAAGTTAGTGTTCTCAATAGTGTCCATTTGCACTGTAGGGAAGGGCATAGAACAAGATGGAGCATCCCCCAAACAGGCCCTTATTGTCTTTGTCCAGTTTAAGCAAAATTGTTGTGGAATTTGGATTTGGGTATTGGTAGTTCTGACAGCTTTGAAAATTATTTTGGAAGTAAATTAGTCAATTCACATATTATAGATAAAAATTAAATAGGTAAACATGTAATTTTAGAAAGTGGAAGATGTTTGACGCAACCGTTACGTTACTTTCCTACGCGTCATAGTGTCACGCGTCAAACTTAACATCTACCTGTCTGTAATAATGCTGACTTTCAGGCTAGTGTTATTTATTTATTTATTTTTTTGGCTGGGGTACAATATGAAAAAAATTTGTTTAATTGTTAGAAGTTCGGAATACAATTAACCAACGGGTCCTTTCAAGAAATAAGAGAAACTTTGGGGCATCATTGCAAGATTCCCTTCTTTTTATATCAGCAGCAACACCAGCTCTGCTCCCGTTGTGTTTGTTTGAGGTCTGAGAGGGAGGCCTTCTATAAATGGCTCTCTACTGGAGAGATATTGTCTGTGTGTGTTTGTAGGGAGAGAGAGAGCATATAGATATAGAGAGAGCATATACACATACAGAGAGAGAGCAGAAATGGCTTTCTTGTCATGTTCCTCTGTTGTGTGAAGCATTTCTATTAAACAAACCAACTAAAGTGTCATCAGTCATCACCTGTGTTTTGTCTCTTCTTCAAACCAACATATATATATATATATATATATATATATATATATATATATATATTTATTAGCTACAATCATATATTTATTGGTTTTGTGTTCAATTCCACCTGTGGGTTTCAATGTCTTCTGATCTCTTTGTATTTGATGACTCTTTCTTTAATGACCCCTTCTCTCCTTTCTCTGACACATCCATTGATATCCTTCAAGCAATTCCAGACAACCAACACACAGTTCTTCACAACAACACTCTTGATGAAACCAATTCTTTTGACAGAATTGCCCCTAACTTTCTGTCTTCTTCACCCCCAAGTCACCAACTTGAAAATCTTTCTCTCTACCAAGCAACTCATTTGCAGAATGATTCAAATTCCGCAAACCCATATGGAGACTACTCTACTTTGGAGGTGAAAACAGAGGAATGTCAATTGGCTTTTCACCTTCCTAATAGCTATCAGTCCTTTGGGCCTCACAGTTATGGTGGTACTGAAAATGCAATGAAGATGATGCAGAGGAACAACTCTTTCAATGGAAAACATGAATTTTTGTTTCAATCTTGCTTTGATGGTCTCATGGAATCTCCAAATTTTCAGCCCCAAATCATGAGCCCACCTCAAAACAGCTTCTCCCCCGGACAAATGAGAAGGGTTTGCAGTACAGGAGATTTACAAGTGAGTTCTACTCTTCTTCTTGAGCTACATATACACATTTAAATACATACATAAATATAAAAGAGCTAGCACAGTTGCATGAGGCTCTGGCCATTGTGGCTTTTGAGGAGGCTACCTCTGTATGGAGAGGTGGTTTCCAGTTTGAACCTCCCATCCTCATATACATACATTATATATTGATAGATTTGTAGTATAAATATAGCTTTCTTTCCTCTGTTTTTGTTTTATTCTTTTTATTTATTTTCAATATTTAATCAAATTGTGTTCATTGTATCTTGTTCAGATAGTGAAAGCAAACCAAACAAACCATAGGATGTCTTCGAGTCCATTAGCTGCAGAGAGCTCATTCATGGAGGAAGCAAATTACAAAGTGGGACGTTACAGTGCAGAAGAGAGGAAGGAGAGGATTCACAAATACAGAGCAAAGCGCACACAGAGAAACTTTAACAAGACAATTAAGGTAATAGTACAATTAAAGACTATTTCCATTTTTTACTGTTTCAGAAGAGTTGACTAATTAATTACTAAAAATCAACTTTTGTAAGGAATAATGTATACGATTAATCTGATTGTGTGTGGGTATTTTGTTCTTGTATTGGTACAAGTATGCATGCCGGAAGACATTAGCCGACAACCGGCCTAGGGTGCGTGGCAGATTTGCACGCAACGACGAAATGGTGGAGCTTCCAAAGGTTGCAGCTTTTAATCAATACGAAGAAGAAGATGATCATTGGGTAATTCTCACTGTTTTTGTTGACAAAAGTCATTTTCCTTTAAAATGAACAAACTAAGCAATGTAACAAAATGATAGTTTTGATTTTAATTTATGAACTTAATTCAAGTGTATGTGATTTGTAGGTTGATGGATTCAATTTAGAAGACAACGAAGTAACAGAGGGAAGAGGACCATTTTACAGCGGTTTCGTGGGAGGAGGACCATTTTTCAGCAGTTTAGATGTAACCCACTTTTAGTACCATAGCTATTGATAATTGAAGCTAATCTGCAGGAGCTTTTTTTAGGATGTTTAGGTCCGGACCACATAATCATTAAGCCTTTCTGAGAAAATAAAAAAAAAAATCTCAGAAGGCTTAGTTAAATAAGGTGGTGGTTGTATTGCTGAGGTTAGATTTTTATTCTGATACTTGTAGGCTAGCTAGTTTGGATGTTTCCACTTCAAAATTTAGTCATGGCACTATGTGCATTTTAATATGTATATATTGATCAATAAAAGCTCCATTTTATTGTAGTCATGTTTGCAACAATATTTTTTTATTTGGCTTCTAAGATTGTCGGAGTACTGTGTGGTTTACATCAAAACCATTGCAAAATTTCTTGTTTCTGCACTGGAGTTTGCATATCTTCACACTTGTCAGCCCGAGCATTTATTGTTGCATCAAGAAACGCCCTGATAATGAAAATCAAGCCGCAACCATGAGTACCATTTGCTTATTTTGTTGCAACTTTGTGTACCACCTATGTAAAGTTGCTTTAATTAAAGTTTGAGTATCTTCAGTCAATTGATATAAAATGTATTGCAATGACATCTTTGGTAGCACTTTGAAAGTTCTTTTCTTACTTTAAAAACATAAAGGGTAGCAGGTGTTAACATGACGGCAAGTGCAGAATCAAGGGAATTGCACATTGAAAGGTAGGTGGGATTCCAAAAAAGTTCAGGCATGTCCTTAATTAACATGCTTCTCTAGGTATACTAAGATAGTAAATCCTCGTCTTAATTCCATATGAATGGGGTCGGTCTAGTAAACACACTACTTACTAATAAGTCATATAGTTTAGTTGAAGTTTAAGGCCATATGGGAAATTAAAAAATGAGTTTGAGTATGTATTTGAACAACTTGCTAGCTTAGTAGAACTTTATTAAACTACATATATATATATATATATAAAACACTTGAGTGTGTTTTACCTTTACAAAGTGGATTAACAGTTGATCCACAAAACTTTAAATGTGCAGCTTTGGATCACAGGTTGTTTCAATCACAGTATAGGTAATTCCTTATCTTCAAGTTGAACTCATTCTAATATTGCAAGTTGCATCTGCAACATGAAATAAACTGCTAATGTTTCAGCTCCTAATTTGAAGCCACACAGACACAAAGAGATGACTGAGATGAGTGATACAAAACCATTAATTGCTTTGTCTAAAAAGAGATGACTGAGATGAGTGATACAAAACCACAATGTGTTTGAACCCTCCTGGGGTAGTCACACCTGCGGTTCTCATGGTCATTGCCGCAATCATTTAAGACCAGAGAAAATCCGACATGGCAACAAATTTATGCTGCACTAAGGAGATTATCTGATTGGGTTCTTTATCATTATTATGCCTTGCATCTTCTTGAATTGTTATGAAAAGTATTCTTTGTTTAACAATTTTGTACCATTTGATTAGACAGCCTATGGAATCAAATTAGGCAAAGAAAAATCAGCAATAAAAACCAAATTAATTATTTTCCCAATTCTTTAAGTGGCAGGTTCTCCAATCAAGATCAGTCAAGGCCCTCAAGTCATTTCCCAAGATTGAAGCATACTTTATTTCTACTGCTGTTTCAACCCTTTTTGGTGTTGTCAAATCCACAGTTATCCATTTCCCTCCTGTTTTCCCGGGAAAATTAGCTACCAAACAAGCCCTCTCTTTCTCCCTCCAAAATAAGGTAGAAAAGAAGGGAAATAGAAGTTGTTGAGACTGAACATGTAAATAAAAATTAAGGTACACTGTTTGTAAAAGTACTTCAGAAGTACCATTGCTTTTGAGAGCAAAAATTAGTACAGAATTTTTCTTTTTTTTTTTTGCTATGTAACCTTCAAAGAAAGAATCTAATTCCAAGATGCTTTCCAAGCAATACTTAGATTACTATGCTATATTTAATATATGAACTAGTTCAGATGGGAGATTCAAGCAATGCAATTAGATAGCGAGATTCGCGCTGTTGAACTGTCACAGCTTGTTAGCATTGCCCCTCCAAGGGACACATTACTTAATTTCACACCATAGGATGCTATATATGCAAAATGTGATCACACTTCAAATTGAATATACAAATAAGAGACATCTTGGAGATTTGGAAGCCAAAGTTGAGATTTCAGGACCATTTTAATCTTTTCTTTTCTTGAATCATGTCCAGAGTGGCCTTGAAGCATATATTCATGTACATTAATTATATCTAGGAATACAAGGACAGATGCTCTCATCTGTAGCTTGTAAAGTTCAAAATCTCACCAATAAATATCTTTCTAGTCATAACCCTCATCAAGCTTAGCATCTTCAATCAAGAATTGCCATAAGCTTAGCATCTTCAATCAACAAATGCCATAAGTTGACCAAGGTTCTATATTAAACATGATCATTTTTCTCTTAAAAGAAACCACAAAGACCCTAGTTTTCTTGCTTAGACTGACACCTAGCTTTGATAGAAAATTCACAAAATGCCACTGAAACCCCCAAACAAAGAAACATTAAAGCATCTTATGAAAGTTAGGGGAAAAAAGACTAACAATTGGACCGAATCTCATCCATTCACAGCTTTCCATCATGAACAGGTTTTTACTTTCAATCAAACCATCAGTTTTATGTATATGCATATGAGTGTGAGTGAATGAGTGTGTGTGTGTGTGTGTGTGTGAGAGAGAGAGAGAGAGGGGGGGGGGAGGGACAACCAACTTAATGGGGAGAGCAGAAACAAAAGAATGCTTATTAAATTGATTATCAGCACCCCAACTGAAAATGATTCCAATAACACACTTTTGACCAGGCCAATATGTGAAGAATTAATATTCAAGACAACTTCAATATCCTATCATTGCACTGCTATAGGTTATGATATGATTGGTGCTTAAATTTATTCCAAAGATGCCAAAGAGTTTGCATTAAAATAGAGATTGATAAAGTTGTCTACTCTACTACTCTACTGTCCTTTTTTCCAGTCCAAGAAAAAGGGTAGTCTTTGTTGGGCTATTGAAAAAATTCAATTTTCTTCAACATATTGTATTGATTTTTTATTTTTATTTTTTATTTTTTTGCACCAATTGTATTGATCAATGTTTCAATTATAATAGAGTTAATCTCATTAGTCATTACCATGCGCACGGGTGGTATAAAACTAGTGAGTAAAACAGTGGACTTGATTTATGTTTTTTTTAATTCTGTCCACAAAACAGACAAGAAAGTATCCATATGTCAGTATGATGAAACTTTTGATCAAAGCCAAACAGAATCATGAAAAGGGTTACCATGAAACACAAAACAATTTTGAACTTTGGAAGTGTTTTTACATTTGGCAAGGAATCATGTTAGGTGGTCATTCAACATATAGCAGCTTTGTTATTTGGTTTTGGTTATGTGGACTAGGATTAATTGAAGTCATTCATTACCATCCAGCCAATAAAATTATGTATAGTAGTACCAAAATTGCATAAATATAAAGTTTATGGTTACAAACTTACAATATAAAACACAAATCATTTGTTGTACAACACAAGTGTAATGTTTTACATACGAATTTCGAATTCTTTCCGGTGGAACAATAGAATATGTTTTGTTCAGATCGAGATACATTTCCAACTTTTTTGGTAAAGTACATTTCGAACTAGACAAAACATGATATACTCTTCGAAGATTTTATTTAAAGCTCTCAAATGGCTTCTTGTTGACTAAACCTCGAAATGGTTCTCTTCAAATGATTCGTACGGTTATTCTATTAAATTCTTTCTTATGATTTGCCCACTTAGTCCTCCTTTGCTGCAAATAATTTTTTATTTCTTCTTGTTGCCACTACTTAGGATTTGGAGGCGTACTGTGGTCCTTGTGAAGAAAAAGTGTTTTCTTTTCTAATTTGCTTTATATTCTTACATGAAAGAGCGTGTGTAAAGAGAGAGGGGTTGTATTTTGATGGTGTGATGAAGTGAATCTTTGCCTTGTTGGGTTCTTTCTTCTTAAAAATAGTTGAAGTGACTTCCCATGGCGTGGATGGGGTGTTCATAATCAACTGCAATACGTTTGAGCACAAGGAATGTCCCAAAAGCAGTCAAATGCTATAAAGTCACCACCCTATGTCTATACAGGCTAGAAAGTTCCTCCAACGTGTGAAGAATCTAATATACACAAAGGCAACCATCAACTCACTCTCTCTCTCTCTCTCTCTCTCTCTATATATATATATATATATATATAACTTCTTCAAAGTGTGCTAGTTTGTGGGGTTTCTCACCAACTTCAAAGATGGTGACAAGGTTACTTCATCATTTTTATTCTCTTTCCAAAGGCATACATATCATTACCAAACGAAAAATGGAAGTGATCATCCATAGTCAATTTTATTTTATTTCTCAAAAAGAGAATATCTACGGTTATTGCGGGGTTCAGAGTGACCTCTGCATGAAGAGGTGATTTTTTTTTTTACAATCCATGAGAAAGGGTAAACATTGACCAATGTCCGAGTGAAAATTCACACCCCATTGCCACAATTTACTGCCTTGAAACAAGCAATTATATACCAATTCTGTTCAAGCTAATAAAAATGGTGTGTCTGTTTAGTTTAATTTTCTAAAAACAATTCTCAAGAATTCATAAACTCATTTTTCTAGCTGAATTTTCAGAACACAATTTTTGGAAAACAAAAAACTGTTTCTCACTTTCCACTTTCTAAACTGAACCAAACATGGCCTGTTTCCAAAATCCAAACCCACACTTCATCAAAGGATTATAATTCCGTATAACATCTTTTCCAAGGAAATGACTTGCATTTAAGAATTTAAGATAAGCTGAACCTCATCGATTCTCTCCCTCTTCATTTTTCATTTTCTTTCAAATGTTCAACCCACACACACACGGATTGCACATCACAAACTGCTTCATTTTTTTCTTAACAATTAAGTACACCCAAAGCAGGAGGCACCTAACCCTACAAAAGTAGAAAATTGGGCAACGGTGTGTTCTTCAGCCAAGAACAGAGGTACACCAGAGTCCCCATTTCAAATATACATATACCAGTAGTCTGTTTATTTCAAGGTAAACCAAACAGGTAATCTGTCGAGAAATTTACAATTACCCTACTCATATGACATCAAAGTGAAAAATAAAAAAATCACCATTCTGCACGGTTCGAAAGTTTGCTTAGCCATAACATTTAGATAGAAAATATCTCTTGGATGATCTTAAACATATCGTTTCTTGAATAGAACATGTCTCTTAGCTGGATCCTTGGGCTTTGCTTTCATCTGCCCAGAATGTTTCCGTCCAGTGCTACAAATAAGATAAAAAGATATATTAAGTAATGTAGTGGAAAAATCTGTGTACTTAAAAAGGCAATTAAAAGATCCAGAAACCATAATTGTAGGAAAGCGAAGATGAAATTATCCAAGGGTATAGAATGAGGTAACCATACTTGTACTCCATGTAAACCATCCCATGTGCTCCTGACATGGCACTCATAGATCCCGCAGAACGACGTGCTTTCTGAAGGGCTATGTCATCCGCATCATCTTCTAACTGCTCTAAACCAACCGCATCATCACCAGCACTCAGTACCTGTTATGTAACAGATTCAGTGAATTTGGCTGGTCAATCATGTCTCAGGCGACAAGGGAAAGCTAAGAGGAAAACCTTTGTGAGAAGTGCAAGTTGCTCATCGCGACTATTGTAGCTCAAATCAGCTCCAGAATCAGGTGGCGGCAAGCTTGTAATTACCTGTCAGTAGTTCTGATTAGGATCTATTCATGGGATGCAGAAGAAATTTATAGTTGATAAAAAAAATTTTAAAAAAATAAAAATAGAAGCAATCAAGCAAACAAACAATAGGTACATTGGTTGTAACCTCAAACAGAAGAGAGAGAACATCACACAACTCATACACACACAACATGATAGAAGGCTTTGTACCTTAAAGCTATAACCTTGATCAATCAAAAACTGCTGCCTTTTGGTAGAGTAGTACATCTCCTGCAGCCAACATAAGATAAAATTTAGTATATGATTACTCAAGAGAGAATCACGTGCATCATTGGTGAAAAGTTCTCCTAGAGTTCCGCCCTAAGACATAGTGGAAAAGCAAAATAGGATTTATGTAGCCGGTTACAAATAGTTGAGAAAAGCTCTGTTGTATTGAGTTTAAAATATATATATATATAGAAAATAGTTTGGCAATAGAAAAGAATGCATACCTGTGTATCTGTAGACACAAGGGAATAGAAAAATGCATTATACTCCTCTTTGCCACCTGCCAGCCGATCCTGAAGACGACCCTGTCAACCCAGTAACAAATTTGACATCAACAACACTAACCATGTTAAAAAATAAACTTAACTGGACAGCCTTGTATCATTGTATAGATCCACACGGTGGGTCAAATTGTTGAAACCATCAGCCACATCTCTATGGGGCTGCCTCAGCTTAAATAATTTATCAAAGAATTGCTTCAGGTTCAATTACAAACTTCTTCCTCATTTAAGACGGCCAAAATTATCATGGGGTAAATGGTATGTCTTGCCTTTGAGTGCCACCCTCCTCCCTCCTCTTTCGACATAGATATATACTCAATAGATATTCTGGATTACAGCTCCAATAGTTTAAAGGTATAATCACATTTTGGGACAGTGCTCTGTAAGCATGTTTAAGTGACAAAGTAGTTCTGAATTTAGTACTTCTTAAGATGGGATCAAGTTCATTTCCTCACCTCACAGAAAAGATCCCACTTGGCTTATTTATGCGGATAGAATCTGAAGAGGAGATAGGACTGACACACAACCACAATATCCAAGAACAAAAATAATGAAATAATAAATAACCTTAGCCCTAAGAATACGACCAAGCCGTTGGGCTTCTTGACGTCTTGAACCCGCATGTGACGAAATTTGAATGATCACATTTGCCTCGGGGATATCTATTGAATTATCACCCACCTGCGAATAACAAAGCAATAATATCAACCACTTGGGATAATAAGCCTGACTTTCCAAATGAGTATACTATGAAATATATAATGTATTTATGTATATATGCATATCATTATATATACAAATAAGATTAGAAAAATGGATAAAAAGTCGACTAATAACAACAACAAAATTCAGTTCTTGTATCAAAAAAGAATTTAAAACTTCCCACAAAATATCTTGAAAGAAGCAGGTTCCCACATTAACCCTACAACTAAATTCATTGACCACAATAAGCAAGCTTGTCCATGCACATCATCGCACAATCTGTCTATGCATCATGATCTATTTCAAAACAATGTACTTTTAATGGAAGATCATTGGAACTCAGAACACAAAATTGAACTTATTTGAAAATGCTGCAAAGCAAAATAATTAAATACTAATTATGCAAATTACCTTTGAAAGGAAAATAGTATTAACTTCACGAGTTCTTTTGAAAGCCTCAAGAATTTTTGTCCTTTCAATGTGGCTGCACATTGCACAAAAAACTAAAAATAAATAAATAAATAAACAATCGTTTTTAACGGATGTGAAACAGCAAAGCAAAAACTCTCTAAAAGGAATAGAAATCCTTGAAATGTTTAACAAAGAAAACAGATAAAATCCGCAAGACCTGGTAGCACCATAAATCATAGGTTTCCGGAGCTTCATTGCATACTCTGTGAGTGCAAAAAGATTGTCAGCAAAAACAATTATCTTATCACCGCGTTGCTGTTCATGAAACCGGATAAGAAACTCGCAAGCCCTGAACTTATTAGGATTCATCACATAGAGTGCCTGAAAATAAAGAGATAAATCACAACGTGTGAACCTTTTCCAAGGAAGAACAAGCTCAAAGAAAGTCTGACAAGCAGGCATAAAATTGACAGCCAGCCAATGGGACACTGAGGTTTCTCATATTTGCGCAACGGAAGTTCAAATATAAAATCATAAAACTGCAGAAACAACTTGCCATATATCTATTGAAAAATTAATAATAACAGGTTGACAAACCTGTTTTTTCTTAGAATTTTCTTTCTTCAGATATTCGGCAAAAAACTCCTTTGTCATTGGACACCACACTTCAGCACACTGTACATTTGCAATAAATCCTCCTTTCACTAAATCTATCCAATTTGCTTCATACAATTTGGGACCAATAAGGAAGTTCAGATCTGTTATCCTTTCATCCTCTCTCACGAGTGTTGCTGCAGTCAGTAAGTCAATTTTTTACTTTTCAGTAAAGGGTGAAAGCAAATTATTGGAGACACATCTCTATATTTGCCAAACACATACCAGTTAGCCCAAGTTTGCAATGAGATTTCGTAATGCTGATGACCTTTCTAAACATGTGAGCAGGAACCACATGCACCTGAACAAAAAAATGCATACCATATCCATAAAAATTAGAAGCATTTATACGTGTACTGCTTAAAAAGTAAACATCGACTGTAATGTAAGAATTACCTCATCCATGAGGAGCAATCCCCATTCTCTGTTCCTTATTTCCTCAATAATCTTTTCGGATTCTTCGGACCGTTTACCACCAAAAGCAACCATGTTATATGTTGTCACAACTACCCCAGCATTACCACGAAATCTTTCTTTGCTATCCGATGTGAAACGACATATTTGCTCATCTCGTATAGTTGACCACAACTTGAACTGAAACGCCCACTGATCCACAGAAACAGCATTTGTTGCCAAACAAAGGCAGCTCTTTCGTACTCGGCAGGCTGCAGAGACGCCCACTAGAGATTTTCCTGCACCACAGGGCAATACAATAATGCCAGATCTCGCCCTACCTGTAATGTCAAACAAAAAAATTTATTAAATTGCAAATAACAGAGTTTGACAACAGCATAAAGATGATCCCTTCACTGAGAAGCAACAATAATTTAAATGCATAACATGACGCCAATTTACAATATTTGCCACATGAAAACAAAAAAAAAATTTTTTTGCTAATTGCTCAACAATGAACAGCATAAATATACAACAAGACAATACAGGTGTCTGCAAAGATAGGAACAAATTCTTCATCTCAAAGTGTTCTATAAAAGTAGATAAATGTTATGAGAATGCTGATGGTTCCGAAATCACAATGTTGCAAGATACAAAAAAAGAATTCATCCTTCCAATTGTTATCATTAGTAATGGAACTAATTTTCTAGAAATCAAGTAACATAGACAATTAATATTGCGATTGATGCAGAGGTGCTGCCTGTGCTGCCCCCACTCGTAGAGTAAAATTTAGCCGAATGAAAAGACCCATATTTACTGACAACTTGGAATTGTCAACATAAATTCTTTATTTCCCTTGCTATTCAACTATGCCTACAATATTTTTTTCTTTTCTTTTGGGAAATAACACACAGCCACTTGAACCCTCAACTTTTCACTATGGGAGATAAGTTCGTTATCATATCTACAAAACCATACCCGCCGTTGAATCAGGCACCACTTATCTGCAGTATTACCCCAGCCAGTGTCTTTTTTAGCCTCGCTCTTGTCCCGGTGATACCTCTGTCTACAGCTAAAACAAAACACACATCCTAACAAGTATGATCCTTGGAAAAAAATTTTCTTATCCTCAATTGCTGCCATACCTTCAATATTTCAAAAGCGTATTCATTTCTTATTTTATCCTCTCTTGCATTGCCTCTCATCTGTCTCAAAATCCTCATTTCAATTACAGAAACACTATAGGAATATGTTTTATGGATCCAAACAATCGGCATCAAAATGCATGGTCGACGATACAAAAGTCCTATATTATCTCACCTTAACTTAGTGGGTTTAGAGAGAGAGAAAGAGAGAGAGAGAGGCCCAAGTCTGAGCATAGATGCAGAGAAGAGTGAATAATTGTCCTCTTTTAAGAATGTTTATAGGATAGAGTTGTTTAAGAAATTAGAATAAGAAAGCATTGATGATGTGTGCAAGAATTCACAAAGAAAATGGAAAAAAAAAAAAAAAAAAAAAAAAAAAAAAAAAAAAAAACCTGTTTTGTGCAAAGAAGGGTGACCGTTTGTTTATCTTCAACTCTAAAAGGTGGCACTTATGCACATGCAACTAATAATGCAAGCATGTAATTGGAAGATCATTTTTTAAGAGATGGGCGCGTAACCACAACATTACCATTTCCAAACATCTTGCTAAGACTCTTTTCTTGATATGGCCGAGGTTGTGCTTGAGGCTTCAGCTCCATGTCTAGGTCAGGATTAACCTGGTGGAAATGAGCGATTAATACAGCAAAAAACACAAAATTACAAGATTGACTAAACAGTCATCTTGTAGTTCCTAAAGCAGGGGCAAAAGTTGAAAAATAACTCACATTATCATTTCTGAAGTCATACTCCTCCAACATGGGATAGTTTAGAGCATTGGGCAAGCAACGTTGCTTTACATTTTCAACCTGTCAATATAGAACATAGTTCAAGAATATGATCTTTCCATAAGAGAACACAAAAACATAATTTTATAATGACTAATTTTACACCATGTTATCATACTTCTGGTGCGCAACAACTCAAATTTTCCATAAGTGGATGATTCTGTTTTATTTCTATAAGAGTAATACAAGTAAGCCTATATACTAAATTAATCTCCGGATTTAAAAACAGAACAAGTACACATATAAACGAAATTGCCAAAAAATATGGAAAGAAAGCACAAGAGTGGATCGTGCATAGATACAACATGGGAGAGGTCAGTGGAACTCCTAGAGTAAGACCCCTCCGCAGATAAAACAGAACTGTCAGCCTAAAGGCTCTCTAACCGAGCTTAACTTGGTAATTTTGATGATTGTAATATATTAGTGCAAGTATTTAACTATTTGCTTGAGTGTGTGTATATCAGTTAAGCACATAAACTCAGGTTCATAGGAAGGATCAAGATGCTCTTTCCATAATGATTGCCTGAATAAAGAAAGGAATGGCACCGCGGTCCATAATGATCGAGCTGTGTCGGCTCCGCCTCCATCTACACAGGCCGGAGAGATATCAGTCCATCTGATCCATGGAGCAAAAGCTCGCTAAAACTATCTCCTCAAACTTCAGAGACTTATGCATGACAAGAGAGTGAAGCCAGAGCTACTCAAGAATTGAGATGATCAATCAAAATATGCCTATCCGATTAATCAAGACTTGGATAGATTAGTTCTCAGTGAGTGATTAGATTTAATATAAAGTCGTAATTTAGTAACTACATGTTAAATGCTCATCCACTGTCTTCATCTCATCCATATTAGTTTAAGTCTTTAGAGAGTCAAGCCAAGGACTGCTTGTCCTGCTACATATAGTTTAAGTCTTTAGAAAGTCAAGCCAAGGGACTGTTTGTCCTGCTATCTATGACTTAATTAAATATTGGATGTACTGCTGTATATTCCAGTATATAGGGCTCTAGGCTCACTTGCACTAGAAGCCAAGACACCTAAAGAGATGAGCAAGTTCCTAAGTCTAGTCTTAATTATGCACAATGACATGTCAAGTGGAGTAGATATTTATCCCAGCCACAATACCATAAGTCCTCGTGTAGGAGATATCTTCCAAATCAAATCTTATTAGGTTTGGTTGATTCAGCTGCCGAATCATATCCAATGGTAGTCCCATAAATATCAAAACCAAATCAACTTATAGCCTTGGCTGGCTAGTACATAGCACACTCCTCAGTTCAAATTCCCAAAATTTGAATTAGTTTGAACTAGTTTGAATTATTTTGAATCTGTTTGATGACATCAGCAAGGTCTGAAAAAGTAGTCAAGCTCTATGACTAACACCTGTCCTCAAGACGACCCCAAAGACGTCTTGACTTTGCGTTGATTATTTCTGTTTAAACACACCACGACCTGTTCCAACGGTAATAACTTTCAAAAGGGCTATAAATATCACTTCATCCTCAACCTAAGAACTTGAGAGCAGTAGTGTGCTGTCCTCCATTTTTCAATAATGTGAGTGTAGAGTGAAATCCGAGTACACCCACCAGTAATCAAGTGAGTTGAGCGTAAGCGTTTTGAGTATGCATTTTTAGTACTCTTGTGAGTTTTGAGTTATAGTGAGCGCGCCTTTTTATGTGCTCTTATGAGTTTTGAGTGTGAGTGAAAGTACATTTCCCAGTACTCATGAGATGCGAAATCGAGTGCAGAGACCAGCCTCGTGTAGTTGAGTTAAGTGAAATTAAAGTACTTAGACCAGTACTTTTGTGAGTGAGACATTAGGTACTGATTCAAATACTCCAATAGGTGAGCGAGTGATTGAGAGAATGCTGATGATCGAGGCACGCCACAGTGAAGTTCAAATAGGATAGTTTTCAGATCCAATCCTGTGCAAACAAGGTCTCTCGTCAGATTAACCACATTCAAACACCCATACACTTCATGTCATATGGCTCATCCTGCATTTACCAGTGTCCAGCTTTTACCATGATCTACTACCTCCATGACTCTAGGTTGTGAGCTTATCATGTATATGTCTATTAAGGGACATTCTTATTGTTCTCTCTAGCCTGAGAGTAGAAGTCCAAGTGGTTCACTTGGTAAATGGGCTGCTCGTGGAAGCATTTGTAGTGGGTTACTTCTGAACCCTGAAAGAGGATATGACCCTGGACATCTTAAAAACTAGGAGGGTTGTGCTCTTGAACTTGGGAAGATCTGCAAAGGAGTGAGTTACTCTTTAGCTCGTAAAAAGGGGAGCTCGCCTTCGGCCTAATGTGAAGTGCAAAGGCTTGCTTTCATCTTTCACGTGAAAGCATTAATGGAATCCTTGGGAGGTTTTCTCAAGGCATGGACGTTAGTGACAATGACGGTACCGAACCATGTTAAAAGCTATGGTGTTAGTTGGTTTGCATTTCTCTAACCTTTAACCTTATGTGTCTTTTATTTAAATCCTATACTAAACTGTTTCATGCACATTACAAATTTAATTTCCGTATAATTATTAGTTTGTCATGTATGATTTTGATTAAGAGTAATGACTCAGGTTTTTAGCTTTTTATTAACTATCTTGTATATTCAATCAATACAAGTATTCATGCCTTTAGCAAGTAATCAATTGATGGTGCATAAATATGTAATACATATGTAGCTTATAATCTTCCAAAGAAGTTCTCAAAAGCTTCAATCTTACATATGCATTTAAAGACAAGACTTAATAAAAATAAGTTAAAATCTATTGCATTAGAATCAGAGTAAGACGTCTTCATATGACAGAAATACAACAAGGGTTGTAACCCATCAAGACATCTACATAGGTCAAGTCTAAATCAAACATGATCATAAGTTCACATAACTCATAAGTGTCAATGATAAATAAGATTTAGTGTTTGTCACACGCTACTTAGGCAACCAAAAATATCAAGATACTGAGGATTCAAGGTTAAAGTTAAACAGTAATTTACTTTGGAGTCAAATTAGGAATTAGGATATCTCAAAAGTATCCTCCTTTAAAAGAGGAGTAACATGCAACACCCCCCCCCCCCTCCTCTCTCTCGGGTTCTTGTTTGGTCCAAAAATATAACTAATTTCTCATGTTAAGCTGGACGGTTTGAACAATCTACAACTGAAATAACTAAAATATACCAGTAAACAGCCTATAATTGGACTCCAATAAAACTGACATGGACCGAGCTTTTCAAGCTAATGATGTGGATTTTATAATCGCGGTGCAAAATTATAAAAATTGTTTAATTATCAAAAAAAAAATTAAAATAATAAAAAATATAACTTATGCATTTTGAACTAAAAAAGTTCCCTTAAAGGATTGAAGTCACACAGCCTATGTATACTACAAGTTGGTCCGTTTAGAAGGATTGCACAAAATTTACCTGATTAGGGTCAACTTCAAATGAATGAATTTCTTTTTCTTCAGCTGCAGCGGCCAATTCTGCTTCTTTTAGCAACTCATCGTGCCCACCTTCAATTTCACCTAGTGATTTGCTAATTGTGAAACCATCACTTCCATGTAGCCCCTGGACAAGACCCATAAACAAATGCATTCAAAAAAATAAGTCGGGAAACGTGATTTGAAGAAAAAAGAAGAGTAGGAATAAAATTGTTTTGTTCCCACAGAAAAATGAAGTTGTGATGTTGAAGGAAAATGTTTAAGAAACAAAAAAGGAAGAGTTGTGATGTTAAAGCCTTAAAGGCAAATGTTTAATAAATAAAAAAGGAGCAATTTGAAATCTACCATACGAATGCTCATCAACAGTGATGGAAGAAGTGAAGACTAGAAAAATCTTACAAAACAGACAGGTCTTGAAATTCAAAACATAGAAATGCACACATGCTCACACAAATATACACGCATGAGAAGACATAAATATATTGTACCAATCTATAGCATGCCCGGAGTCATACAACAGAAAATGCAAATTAACAAAGTACATTCTTCACTGACTGCATCGACAAAACTGTTCACCGAAAAGGGAAAAAATAACTTCAAACCAATTCTAATCAAAACATTAATAAGAAATTGAACCACTATCAAATTAATGCACAAAAATGGAATTATAAAATGTGAACATTGTCATGATGATATACACACTGCAACTATCAAACTTAATACTAAGCACAGACCTCAGGAGCAATCCTAGCTCGAGATATAGCTTCATCCTTGAGTAATTTCTTCAGTACCTGTCAATAACCATTGGCATCCACTTACAGCCCAATATTTCTATTAATCTCAATAACCCCCCACCCCAAACCACCCAAAAAAAAACAATTAAGGCCAAATCGTCTTGCCTCTGGGAATGGGGATTCAACGAAGTACCGGTTCTTCTTAAGTACAAGCTTAACTTTCCCATAATTCGCTGTAGAAGCATGTATGAAATCAATCATCTCTTTCGGGACCTTGGTCTTTGACAACATATTCAAAACACCTACAATGGTTTTAGTTTCAAGACCAATTGACACCGCCGCGTACAATGAGTGAGGAGTCAGGTTGTATTCGTGCATGGACTCAGGCCTATACGTCAAAATTCATACATATAAGTGTCCAATAATGCATTGCAAAATCAAATTTACAGAAGAACCCATGTACAAAATCTTATAAAATGAGACCTGCAAACAGGTTCAGCAATGGCAATAAGGAAATCATAAGCTTGTTTGTATAGATTAGAGAAAGTTTCGAGGAAGATTCGACCATCAGCGCAAGCCCATAAAGGCCGATCCTCATGATCAGGTTTAAGTTCTAGCATAGTGAAATCTCTCTTCTTTCCTTCACCTACACTCAATATAACTCAGTCACTCAATTCACCCAAGTTAATTCAAATCAAAACGATAAAAACGATAACAACTTGAAATTTTAAAATAGAGGACATAGATATACCATCTCGATTCTCATCATATAAATCTTCCCCATAGTAAGCGTCTTCATCATCTATTACTGTGGCCCTATTTTCGTCCTACATATAATGCCACCCAAACATAGAATAATTCAGTGAAATGATATATACACATCATAAATTTCAAAAAAGAAACAATTAGGGGATTTGAAGAACCTTGTTTGAAGATTTATGCTTTTTGCTAGGTCGGCCTTTGTCACCTGGAATGGCAAGATTGAATTATATAATATATACATATATCTAAATCTAAACACATGTAAACATGTAGGTACAGTTTAATCTTATAAATTAGGTTTTTCTACAGATAGATGATGAGGAATAGATGTAATACCGTGACCCATTATTACGATACAGATGATGATCAACTTGTCCGATTTTTAATGTGTACGTTGTTAGGGTTCTGTTTGTTCAATTGTGTGTATATATACAGGGAGATAGAGAAGATAGAGAGAAGGGATCGGTGTCCTTGTAGAATAAAGGAACCCGCTTGGAACTTGTTAGAAGAAATGATTTCAGATAACACTGTTTTATATTTATAGCTTATTGGAGGAAAAAACGCACACCATAATTTGGTGAACAAATAGATAAAAATAAATCAAATAAATAAATTACATTGACATACTTTAAAATTCCACAAATTCTCACACTACGAAATTATGCTACTCAATTTAATTTTAAGTATATCTCAGGGTATTAATAAAATAAATGTAATAATAATCTTGAAATTGGGAGGTATAATTTAATTGTAAATATCTCTTAGGGTATTAATAAAATGAATGTAATAGTAATTTTAAAATTAAAGGTAGGTAAATTCATTGGTTGGGGTATTACACTCTTGCTTATTGATATTTTTTTAATAAAAATAATTGTTTATGATTTTTTCCTCCCGTGTTCATAAGTAAACATAACTATCAAATAAATAAATCTAATTTATATATACCTTTGAAGGTAATAAATCTAGTATTTTCATCATCACCAAAATATGACAATGAATTCTAATTTGCCTTTATTTTGTATATCTTGTATTCTTAAAATAAATATAAGTACTCTATGGTCCATTGACGAATTAATATTACATAATTGATAACAATTCCATTGAAAATATTAGATATAAAACAAACTCAACACGGTTTCATAAGAAAATAAAACAAATTTTAGAATTTTTTTTTTTTTTGGGGGGGGGGGGGGGGTGGGCCTGTAAAATCTCTCGATCCGGTCTGATTATAGTGTAAACCGGTCGGACAAGTGACTCAACACGGTTCGGTCATAGAAATGCTCGTTTATTTGGTTTGGCATTCTGTATAAAGGGTACATTTCTCTTTCATCGACAATTGCTCTCTCACACAGACTGCTCCGCCGAGTTGTAGACTCAGCGAGTCAGAGATGAGCGGACACGACTCCAAATACTTCTCCACCACCAAGAAGGGTGAAATTCCTGAACTCAAAGAAGAGCTCAATTCTCAGTACAAGGTTCATCCCCCTCTCTCTATTTTCATTATCTGTGTATGTATATGTGCATCTGTTTATATATAGCACGTACGTATATTTTGATTTGATATTTCGAGCTTGGATTCACACCATTTTCTGGATGTGTATTTGATCTGCTTAATTGACGCTATCGATTTCACGCGTTTTCGCTATTAATTCACATAGTTTGTATCAGATCTATTGTTTCTTGTTTTTTCTGTTTTTGATTTATCATTTAGATCGACGCAATATTCTGTTGAATTTCATTCCACATTTTCAAGATTTCTGGATTGATTTTGGTGGTTGAGATTTGCGCTGATTGACCTTTGACTGCAAAATATTCGTTCTCTCTCTCCATCTAATACATATGCAGTGCGGTTTCCTTACTTAATTATAGAAAGTAAACTTCCTTTGGTTTCCTCACTCAAGCAATGGTCTCTAGAAGGCCATTACTCAGTCCCACCTTAATTGGGGTGCTGGGAGGGTAGATTGGAGCCAGATAACATTTGGTATTATTTTGCATAAAAGTAACTGCTCTCAATCAAATATGCATTCTCTATTAGTACGCTTATCATTGCATCACGAATAATTGATTGATACTGAAATGTACGAAATTTCTTGACAAAAATGAGGGGACAAAAACTAAGAAATATCTGTATTGCTAATTGGGTTTTTTTTATGAAGCTTACAAGAGTGATAAAAATATGTTAAATTGACCAATAGTTTGTTTGAGCATTACAACTAGCTTTTGAGGTATCAGTCTCCTAACCCAGTCATCCCTGACGCTCCAGTTCCGACACCTGGCCTAGGAGAGCGTATACAGACTTTGGAGGACGCCGTTGTCTCTCTTCGGTCCTCAAACCCTAGTTTATGTAGAAAAAGGTTATAGAGGTTGTAGATTGTTGGTTTGAGCTACACAACCACTCTTATCATTTGTTTAAGCTTGAATATTGGTGTTATACATTCATTTTAAAGTATTTGGTGAGTTGTGAGAGCTTGAAGGATCCAAACAAGGGTGTGGGAAATGATCTTTTATAGTAGCAGAGTTGAGTTTCTGGTAATCAATACACACACGCCATCCAGTGGTGGGTTTAGGAATACCTCTGGTGTGACGCTATGGCAACTGTCTTTTGTGTGGCTCAGGAACATCTTCAGAAAGCGATTGGTATGGGCGATCCTTATCTTTTGAGGTAGGAGACCTTGTCTTTCTTAAGATTTCTCCGCGCAAGGGACTTTTGATTGGAATCCGATTTGATCTGAGTCCAAACTAAATAGAATATGGATTGAGACATTTAGTCCAAGAACCTGTTAGTCCCACATGTAGCCCACCATAGCTACAGTGGACACAAGTTGCCAAAAACCACCCTCAAAGCAAAGGGATTCAATTTGTTTCTCAACACTGCCCATTCAAAAAAATTCTGTGTCATGCCCCTGTTCTTTTCTGTTTTGAATAGCTGAAGTGAATTCTTTGCTCAACTCCACTCCTATCACAGATTTTCCTCCATGGAAATCTAGATTAGAGTCTCTTCCACCACTTTCTAGTATTCCGCCTAGTCCTTCCTTAGAGTCTCCACCTAAGCTTGAGCTCGCTCCCTAACCTTGGGAGTTGGCTCTGTGACCAAGGGAGTTGGCTCCCTAATTCTATGGAGCCGGCTCTCTCTCTCACAGAGAGGCGTGGGCAAAAATCTTTGGGAGCCGGCAACAATAAAAATCTAAAATTCCAAAAATAAAATATAATAATTCGTGTTTTAAATATTCTATTCTAACCATCATTTAATCAATAAATTTAACTTAAAATGACAAAAATAAAAATAAAAAGAATCCAGGCAAGTGAATATAAATCCATTTAAATTGATGCTCCTGACTGCATAGTATGTTAAATTGAGCTCATGATAACCTTTTCTATATACTTTCTGAGTAATTATGTGATACCTGTTCTTCTTTTCTATGTCATGCAGGATAAGAGAAAAGATGCTGTAAAAAAGGTCATTGCTGCAATGACTGTCGGCAAGGATGTTTCATCACTGTTCACAGACGTTGTTAACTGCATGCAAACAGAAAATTTGGAGCTCAAAAAGCTTGTTTATCTATATCTCATAAATTATGCTAAAAGCCAACCTGACCTAGCTATACTTGCAGTAAATACATTTGTGAAGGTTAGAACCATGATGTGGTATAATTTTGTTCTCTTGCATTTTAACAATGTGACGGTCTTTTAGAAAATAATGCTAATATAGATGGTTTTGTCAGTGACTTTTTCTGTTGAATGTATGTTGTAGTTAACTTTTTATATCACTATTCATTTCCTTGACTGACCAAACAACTGCTTCCTTAGTGCTCATCCGACAGTTGCTCTAAAAAGGCAATTTCTTACCATGTAATATTTTATACCTGTATACTTGAAGAAACCTCCTAAACAATGAATATGCATATTTCCTAGGGAGAGATTATGTTGGTCTTTCTTTTTATATTTATATAAGTTGCCACTTTTTAAAATAAAGAAAACCATCCTGGTCTATTTATGTGACATGGCCATATTCCTGTTGTGGGGTTAGAGGATCCTCCACCCCAAAGTGTGGAAACTTTATGTTCTTTAGTCTGCACATGATTAGTGTCAGTTATTAATGTGTTCTTTTAGTTATGCATTAGAGGCTTGAGACATTTATTGTTGGTGGAATTTTATTGAAACATTTAAAAACTTTTGGGTTATGATGACTCAGTAGTTTGGTTGATTAATTTGTTTTACAAGATTTTAAATTCTAAGAATGCAGTTGATAAACAGAGTAAGAAGCACTCTAGTAGCTATTTGTAAGCTTAAAGTTGTTATTTAATATAGCAGCAACTTTTGTAGTTTTAGACATTTGAGTCATAAAATAAAATCTTAAGAGTTCGATGTAGCAAAGATTAAGACATGAGACAACGATATCGAAACTTAATTTGGTTTGTGTCAGGGAAATCCACCTATAAAGTTATTTTACATCTCAAGCAAATAAAAAAATAAAAACAAATAAAAAATAAAAAAATAAAAACAACTTATGCTTTATAGGATCAATAGGGATATAATGTGAGAAACATTACAAAAAAAAATACCAATTCGATATGTTGATGTGATTTAAGGACTTGGAAGAAGTGTAAACCAATAACAAATTGTGGAAAACTAGACAAGTGAATTTCTAATTATGGCTTAAACTACGGATCGGAATTGTTATTATTAGGGTAAAATGCAAAAAAGCCTCTTGAACTTTCTTGCATTTGCAAATAACGCTAAGTGATTATCAACTTGGCAAATAATTCCCTACACTCATGTAAAACCCTTCAAAATTCTAGAAAATGGATGGAAAATGGTCATGTGCACCTCACATGCTCATAAGTTTGCCATATTGTGATTTGTGACCATTATGGCCTTCACTACGGACCAAATTACCTCTGTACGGAAAACATACAGAAGGATCCATTTTTGGGACTTGAGTGCGGATAAATGGGGCGGGTTTTAGGGGCTTAGCTATATTTTGAACAAATTTGTAATATCAAAATTATTTTTTGACTCATTTTCTTCTTTTATTTTCTTTTTGTAAGGGACAGTTATGTAATCTTGGCCACCTCCGTTTTTTGAATGAATTTCTTTTATTCCTTAGGTTTTATGGTTGGATTATGCATGAATAAGAGATGCCTGGTTATTATTTTAAGGAACAAAGTTATGTTTTTTGTAATGTTTTTTTTTTCAAGACCAAATGTCTTTGAATATGTTGATTTATTGGTTTTTTTTTTTTTTTTTTTTTTTTTTCACATTGCTGAATTGACTTCTTTGAGTCTTTCAGTGGTATTTTAAAGATTTGAGCAAATTTTTTTTTTTTTTTTTTTGCAGGATTCACAGGATCCAAATCCCTTGATTCGTGCTTTGGCTGTACGCACAATGGGATGCATTCGTGTTGATAAAATTACAGAATATCTATGCGATCCCCTTCAGAGGTGTCTCAAGGTCTGCTTTTTATCATTTTTTTCCCTTGTTATGATTGGTATTAAGTTTTACTATTACACTATCTTCAATTACACAATTGCACATGTTGTCCATATATTAGAACTAATGTCTTGTGAAACTTTATTATCTCATCAATCACGATATCTTTTTCTTTAATTTTTTGTCAGGATGATGATCCATATGTTCGTAAGACGGCAGCTATATGTGTTGCTAAACTTTATGACATAAATGCTGAGCTAGTTGAGGATAGGGGGTTTCTGGAAGCTCTCAAGGATTTGATATCTGATAATAATCCCATGGTTGTAGCAAATGCTGTGGCAGCTCTTGCAGAGATTCAGGATAACAGTAGCAAACCCATTTTTGAGATCACTAGCAACACACTTGCAAAGCTCCTTACTGCTCTAAATGAATGCACAGAGTGAGTTTATGATTCCAAAATATGTTAGCTTCTTGGTAATTTGAGAATATTTGCTATAGTTTGACGTTTTAATATATTGCTTTCCAGTCAGTGTTATTTGTTTAATTAGTTGTTCTATTAGCGAATCTGGATAAAGGCTAAAGAGATGCTATCTTATTTACTCTACTTCACTGTTTGTAGATATTCCATGTCAAAGTGCTTTGTGTTGGTCTTTGCAGACCCCAAGTTTTACTTCAGCTGACATGTTTGGGTATTGGTAATCTAGAAATTGCTTTTGTTTTCACAATTGGTAGGGTGCCATTTTTTGTGTATGTCTCAGTTTTTTTTCCCCTCTTAATGGAATATTTGTTACTTTTTCAAATTCAGATAGGGCAGGTTGGTTAAAATAATTTTTTTGTTGCTCATTTGTATGAAGTACATAATGTAGATATTTTGTGGTCTTGGAGCTATTGTTATGCAACTTTAGCTGTTTTCTTTTAATATGGTTCAAACCGGCAACTTTTCATAATAAGATCTGGAGTGATGTTCTAAATGAGATCTGTTCTCTGTTCGATTTTCCCCGTTCTCAGTTCTCTTGTTCTCGAGTTGAAGGAATGTCTCTCTTGAACATTCCTGTGCCATTAACTTGAGGTTGCTGTTAACTACACAAGGGATGACAATTGAATAAGGAAAGAAATCACTTTGGGATAGGAATAGGTCTAACTCGCCTGGATTATATCAGTAATTAGATGGTCTGTTGTATTCATTAGAAACAATGCTCACAATGGGTTTGTGGCTGATCCTAGCTTTATTGTCTACCACTATTGCAATGTAAATTTTACTAAACCTACATGTTATCCTTGAAAATAATGATTGGTTTAATCCCTTTATTGTGGTCATGAGTTCAAATTGTAAGACCTTGTCAATAATAACCTTCTGCTTTGCTAATTGAATGCTAATTATGAACGAGTTCAGGTGGGGTCAAGTTTTCATATTGGATTCTCTTTCCAAGTATAAGGCAGCAGATGCTCGTGAAGCTGAAAATATAGTGGAGCGTGTTACTCCAAGACTACAGCATGCAAATTGTGCAGTTGTGCTTTCAGCTGTTAAGGTGACATTCGTTTCTTTTGATTAACTTGGTTGATTAATGCCATTAGTAATTCCTCACTTATCATTTATTGGTGAATATTCATTATTAAAAATCTTTTCCACTTTTTATTTCTTTATCGACTTTTTTGTTCTTGTCTTGCAGATGATCCTCCAACAAATGGAACTCATCACCAGTACCGATGTGGTTCGAAATCTTTGCAAGAAAATGGCTCCTCCTCTTGTGACTTTACTTTCCGCAGAACCTGAGATTCAATATGTTGCATTGCGGAACATCAACCTTATTGTACAAAGGCGCCCAACAATCCTTGCCCATGAAATAAAGGTGATTTATGCTTGATGTAGCTGCAGAAACTGTTTTTTAGGTTCACTTTTTTCTTCTTGTAGTAATATTTCATGTAATGCGGGTGTAGCTGTTGAAGTCATTTTCTGTTGCTAGGTTTTTTTCTGCAAGTACAATGACCCTATTTATGTGAAGATGGAAAAGTTAGAGATCATGATAAAGCTTGCTTCAGACCGAAATATAGACCAAGTAAGCAAATTTTGATATGACTTGTTCATCTTATTCTCTCTCAGATTTGGTTTGGTTATTATATTCCTTTGATGTGGTTTGCAGGTTTTGTTGGAGTTCAAAGAGTATGCTACCGAAGTAGATGTAGATTTTGTGAGAAAGGCTGTCCGTGCAATTGGGCGCTGTGCCATCAAATTAGAGAGAGCAGCTGAGCGGTGCATTAGTGTTTTGCTTGAGCTTATCAAGATTAAAGTAAACTATGTTGTCCAAGAAGCTATTATAGTCATCAAAGACATTTTTAGGAGATATCCTAACACGTAAATCTTTTGTCCACTGTTTTGTTTTGTTTTGTTTTGTTTTTTTTTTTTTTTTTTTTGTTCTTTTAGTGGCCATATTATTGCTTTGACATTGTCGCGGAGTGATTCATGTCTTTCCAAACTTGTTCTTGATTCGCAGCTATGAGTCCATCATTGCTACGCTTTGTGAGAGCTTGGACACTTTAGATGAGCCTGAGGCAAAGGTACTTTGAAACAATTGCAAGGCTTTGGCCTTATGATTGCTTGTGTTTCCCACAATTCCCATTCCACAAGTTCTTATTTCTTTTCACAGGCATCAATGATCTGGATAATTGGTGAATATGCGGAAAGAATTGACAATGCTGATGAGCTCCTTGAAAGCTTTTTGGAGAGTTTTCCTGAGGAACCTGCACTAGTCCAGTTGCAGTTGCTGACAGCAACAGTCAAACTCTTTCTTAAGAAGCCAACTGAAGGCCCACAGCAGATGATTCAGGCACGTGCTTTGAGTTTGATTGTGTTTATCAGATTCTCATTTATTTTATTTTTTAAAAATCAAAGATGTCCCCATTCCCCCTTCCCTCCATTGCCTTTGAAATCAAAATTGGCCTTTTGAAATACTGCTTGCGCCCTTTGGCTCTGATTTGGTCAGAGCACTATAATCTCAATGGCTAGTAGTTAACTTGGCTTAGAAATTTTGATTTGCATGTTTTCAAGTTGATTCTTATAATGTATCATCCTCTTTTAGGTCGTGTTGAATAATGCCACTGTGGAAACTGACAATCCTGATTTGCGTGATCGGGCCTACATATATTGGCGTCTTCTATCAACTGATCCTGAGGTGTGTATTACGTAAAATCAATTGTAGTATCTCTTTCTACCCATTCTTTAATGCCCTGTATGGTTACCACTGCTACACTAATACTAGAAATGCTTACTGGGGTATGATGCCATAAGATTTTCTTTTGGAGTCCTTGTCATATGTCATGCTTGCACAACTTCTAGGGCCACCTTTGCAGAAGGCATATAAAACCTCATCTCATTCTCTTTGGTTTAAGCGTCTTCTTACCTTCATGAATCGTAGTTGAACTTTTGCTTGTGCCGTTCTGAAAGTTTTCTCCGTGAACAAAGCCACTTCCAAATTTGTGTGAGAGTAGAGATGTGCCAGTTGTAGTTTTAATTGTCAATCTGGACTCCTGGTGCAACTGTGCATTGAAATGGGCAATGTTAGAGCCATATACAATTGTTAATTCATTATGTACTTTTTTTTCCTTCCCTCTCCTTCTCAGGCAGCTAAAGATGTCGTGTTAGCTGAGAAGCCCGTGATCGCTGACGATTCAAACCAACTCGATCCTTCTCTACTTGATGAGCTTCTTGCAAATATAGCTACTTTGGCCTCTGTGTATCACAAACCTCCGGATGCATTTGTGACCCGTGTAAAGACTGCCCAGAAAACAGAAGAAGATGACTATCCTGATGGGAGTGAAACTGGGTATTCTGATACACCTTCCCATGCACTTGATAGTGGTGCATCACCACCTGCTACGTCAAGTCCGTATGCCGCAGCAAGGCAACCAGCACCTGCACCAGTTGCACCTGCAGCTCCGGCTCCTGTGCCAGATTTACTCGGTGATCTTATAGGCCTGGATAATAGCAACAATGAGAATAATGCTATTGTATCTTCAGATCAGCCTGCAGCACCTGTTGGGTAAGTAAGGTGGAATTCATAATTATTTTTATAATAGATTGTTGTGATGCATAGTGATCAGATATGGAATTTTTTTGCAATTCAAGTTAGAAATTCAAATGTTGAATTTTTTGGAATTGTTTTAATGGGTATTCCATACCGGGGAATTATCTGTACTACTAATGATAACTTTCTAGTTTTCATCAATGGTTTTGAGTTTTTAGAACTTGGTAGGATGTGCTTTCTGAAAACTCAGTGTTTGTTCGTGCACCTATGAATGCACAACTCTTAGATTTCTGGCTTTGATTGCAGCCCACCTTTACCCATTCTGTTACCGGCATCAACTGGTCAAGGGTTTCAAATCAGTGCACAGCTGATACGAAGAGATGGTCAAATATTTTACAGTTTATTGTTTGAGAACAACTCACAGACTCCCCTTGATGGGTTTATGATTCAGTTCAACAAGAATACATTTGGTCTTGCTGCTGCTGGACCACTTCAAGTAGGTATTGCTTACATTAATCATGGAACAGATTTTTACAAGGTTGAGTTCTAAATTGATGTTTTATTGTTAATCAGGTCCCACAATTGCTACCTGGGACATCAGCAAGGACTCTTCTGCCGATGGTTTTGTTCCAGAATATAGCTCCTGGTCCTCCGAGCACACTTTTGCAGGTTGCTGTGAAAAATAATCAACAGCCTGTGTGGTACTTCAATGATAAGTTCTCATTGCTGGCATTCTTCACTGAGGATGGTAGAATGGAACGTTCTTCCTTTCTTGAGGTAAATAATATATTGTTAGATCTAAATTTTCAATGGCATCATGTGCCTCGGTTGATGAACTCATGATGATTGCTCCAGTCTTCCTCTTTATTATATTGACCGTCGGTATGGAAAAATTCTGAAGCAGTGCCTTCTGGGAAAAAATATTTTAGAATATTGGACAACTCAGGAAATATCCAATATGTGTGAAGATATCATTTGCTTCATTTTGGCTGGAGTTTATGAACACAAATCATGCTCTATCTGGGAGAACAAAGTATTCTGCCATCATTTAGGCAGAGATGTTCCATTATGTAGTTTGATTGTAGCAAATGGATTGTAATTCTTTTACATTTCTCTCAAATTGCAGACATGGAAGTCCTTACCTGATTCAAATGAGGTTTCTAAGGACTTTCCCAGTATTGTGTTGAATAGTGTGGAAACAACCTTAGACCAGCTGGCTGCATCAAATATGTTCTTCATCGCCAAGCGTAAGAACGCAAATCAGGACGTGTTGTATCTTTCTGCTAAGATCCCTCGAGGAATCCCCTTCTTGATTGAGCTCACAGCAGTTGTTGAAAACCCTGGGCTCAAATGTGCGATCAAAACTCCAAACCCGGAAATGGCCCCTCATTTCTTTGAAGCCCTTGAGATTCTCCTCAAGAGTAGTTGATTATATTTCCCGTCCTTTTTCCCCTACACTTTTCATTTCTCAATTTCTTTTTGTTTACATTTTTCCTTTGGGTTTTGGGGTTGGGGCTGATATTTGCAGCTGTATAATATTTAGGATACTCAAAATCTGGTTGGTTTTTCCCGCTTCTAGTCCATTTAATACCTGTCCAGGCCTGTGATTGAATTGTATTGATAAAAATGAGTTTTTGTGATTGAATTTAATTTTGATAAAATTGAGATTTTGTTGCACAAACTTCCCATTTTGTAGTCTTAACTGCTTATTACAATGGATGTGGATCTGTACATATGCTTTGTGTTTAGGTCTCGAGATTTCAATTCCATTCCTTTTACATCCATGATCACCAATAGTGTTCTAACTTTGATATCACTTTTATATGACATCTGTTAATGCATGTGTTCTGTATCGTCATTGTTAAAACAACAGGTCCTCAGTTGGCTATCTATTTGAGATTCTGAACCCAACTAGTTGTGGTCAATCCATTATGGTTTGTCATTTCGTTTGTGATTAAATTCATGTAGGTCCCTAGATGAATGGGATCTACTTAAAAAAGTATGGTAAGCTCTACATCCATGAGTATATGATTAAGATTTTGTTTGCAAGCTAAATATGATTGTTAGGATGAAATTGGTATGTGAATTGATATTTGGTTCATTCTATTCTCTCAAATGTAATTTTTAACTTCAATAATATTTGATGGGGAAAACGATTTGTATAAACCGTTGCGAGTTCCCATATTTCCGGAAGATCATATTAAATTTTTTTTTTTTTTTTTTGGCAGCTCATATATTTGGATGGTTATGCACCTTATGGTCGTGTGTTCACACTAGTATGTAATTTAATAGCTGTTCAAAAGCTTAAGCCACCCCAATTCATATACTAATTTCAGCCGGGACACTATTAACATTGTCTTCCACTCGAATTCGCAATGTTTATTACGTAATCAAATTACCTACTCAATCCGGAGACTTGGCGTGATACTAGATCAAAAATTGAATAACGATGTGTTTACATATAATAACAAAATAACAACATTGACACGTAAAATAATAAACACCTTGATACTGAGTAACAAATCTGTTGAGTAACCGATGTTGACACATTGGGCACATTTAATAATGATATTAGTGTGAGTGGGGAGTAGATGACAGACTCCACCCCTTATTACTCATGTAATTTTTGGAAGGAAAATGATAAGGTCACCGAATGATTTCCCGATTAAATCCTGAATCTGACGTGTTTTTGTTTATTTCATCTACTTAAATAATTTTTAAAAAATAATTGTTTAACAATGATAAGTATAACCAATTAAGTCAAATTCGATGTTAATTATGGAATTTATTTTTGATCTCCTTATCATTACTCTTTTTGGAATACGTTTTTTACTTTTTCATTACTTTTTGTGGGTCTTACATTTTTCTCTTTTTCCCTCTGTCAAACATTTTACTGACGTGGATATTGACTAAACTTTAAGTTTAAATTAAAAATACAATTTACCTTAGTTGGTTTGAGAGAATTTTGAATAATCTTAAAATGGGTAGGGCATCTTATTCCTCTCCCACGCTAAGTTGATTTCAGTTTTGGTGAGGGAAAGAAAGGAAGGGTTAGTTTGGCTAACTTGAACTAAGCAAGAAAGTAAAACAAATAGGAAATTTTTAAATATTTTAATAATTTGGCTAGTGTGAAAAAAAAAAAAAAAAATTCAGAAAAATAATATTATCTCAACTCATTGATTTTTCCAAAAATGTTACCTCCAAAAAACACAAGAAAATTATAATTTTTCCTAAAAAATTGTATCATTATATTTTGATTTCCTATTATGCCCTTATTAGTTGTTTATTGTTGTTCCTTTTCTTAATCGATGTATTAAAATTATGTTATTAAACTGTAACTTTGTGATTTTTTAAATTATGACTTTTCTCCACACTCACAAAAGAAGGGAATTAATCTAATATAGTAGTAGAGTCCTAATCAAGTTACGGAGACATCTGCAAAATACATATATATATATATATATATATATATATATATAATTTATACTATGTATATTACTTTATATTGAATTAGTAAAGACAATTTTGGTATATAAAATTATTATTTTTTCATTCTTCTTTTATTCTAAAAAACAATATTTTCAAAAAAAAATTATATTAATAAAAAAATATAATAAAAACTAAATTTTCTTTTTCTTTCCATCACTTTTTTTTCTTCACTTTCCACCATCAAATTCCGGCCGAAGAAAAAGTAGTGGGCCCCAGTGCACTCACGAGATACCGTGCAATTTCTCATCGCATCCAATTCGAGTCTATAGTGCATACAATATCACTCTCGCACTCTCCGTTAATTTTGAAATCGTTACCTAGGGCTTCTTACTACTCCAATCAAAGGCAAAGTAAGCTTCGATCCACTGCGTATTCTTAATATGCATGCGCGCACACACACACACACACATATATATATACACGTATACCAATCTATACTTGAGACATCTTCCATGAAATTTTCTGTTTTTTGTTCGATTTTGTTTGATTAGTAGAATAGATCTATGTTATTAAATATTCATTTCTGATAAAACTCAAAATTGTTCAATAAAAACAATCTTCTTTCAATCCAGAAGTAATTACTACTTGATATATTTTTTTTTTCATGCATTTTCTACCTTCAAATATTGTTTATTTTAGAGCTTAAATCAAATTTTGTTTTGGCTGCGTTTGTTTGAATTTTTATTTGGTTTAATTTATTTTTTATTTTTAATGTCCGAGCGTCCATGAAAAACTTTTTAAAGCTTCAATAATTTTTGTCAAGAGTCTTCATGTAGCTTTGATATAAAAAATGTTTCAAAGTAGTTCTTTTTTTTTTCTTTTTCATGCATTTTCTACCTTCAAATATTGTTTATTTTCGAGCTTAAATCAAAAAAAATTATTTTTAATGTCTGAGCGTCCATATATGAAACTTTTTAAAGCTTGGATAATTTTTTTCAAAGAGTCTCCATGTAGCTTTGATATAAAAAATGTTTCAAAGTAGTTTTTTTTTTTTTTTTTTTTCTTTTTCCCTGCAATAATTTATAACAAAGAATAGCTGCTATTTTGTTCTTCTGAATTGACTAATATATGATTTTCAAGCTGCTTATCGAGATATGTTCGATTGTTTTTGCCTCTTTCTAATTTTTTTGTTGTGTTTTCCCACCCCTCTAAATTGTATTTGTTCCATTTCAGTATCACGAAAAATGATATATTTATGCTAAATTGGATTAAATTATTATTTCTTGGAAAGGTGCATTTTGTATGCCAAAAGAAATTATTAGTTTTGGAGTTGGTTTTATTGGCAATGATATTAGGAATTCACATCTCAAATTAAGTGACACTTCAGTTTCTCATATCATTTCAAAATCAAAATTACTTAATTTTTGCTCGACTTACCACACCATTCGAAATGAGTCTATATTAGAAGTGTTCATAAAATACCTGTGTGTGTGTGTATAAACACTATATATATATATATATATATATATATATATATATATCTCTGCTGTGGTATTTGTTGCGTTTATTCGTGAATATTTGTGCATTTAATTTATTGATACTTGTGTTTAGGTAGATGACATACTCAAGAGAAAGAAGGTGAGGTCCCTTTATTGGGCTTTCCATTTACAACTTTGTCCATTTAAATTTAGAGCCATGTTATTGTCAGTTATAAATATCTTATGGATATTTTCCCTGTTAATATGCTTTTAGGTCTGCTTCACCGAACAACTCCAGGTCACCTGGTAGGGGCCATCGCTCAAGATCATTGTCAAGGTCTAGGAGGAGTCGTTCCAGGTATGGTAATAATGACAGTGGAAGTTGCAGTTTAGTAGTCATTCCATTCGATTAAATTCCTGCTTGAGTAATTTCTAGTCGCGCACACACTTATACATAGTGAGTATACATTATTAAGTATGTTTATTCTTTGCCAGAAATTTTCTTTCATATGACAGTTTGTATTGCTCCAGGAGCCAAGATTCCGTTGATGTAGTTAATCCTGGGAATAATCTTTATGTAACGGGTTTATCTACTAGGGTTTCTACCAGCGATCTTGAGAAGTTCTTTAGCAGTGAAGGAAAGGTATGAACCTTTTCAATTTTGTTTTATAATTTCCATATGTCATACAGAATTTCTCTTTAACCAACCTTAAGAAATATATGTTGTCAAGTGCTTGTAATGCTGATTGAGAATGATCATAGTTGAGCTTGATTGTGGTATTTTTGATATATAGATTTTGCCTTTGTTGTGTGATTACACTACTAAATGTATCCCAAACCGAAGGAAATTATATATGTGTATAGAAGTTCAAATAGGAAATGAGAAAAAGGAATGTTGAAACAATGTATTTGTATATGATAGGAGAACCTTCTTTTTTTTTTGGAGGGGCAAGGAGCGAAGAATTAACCCACCCACTTGCCACTTTGGACCCTTGGATGGTTTGCAAACTCTTGATGCACTCGCAAACCATGAGCATCATTTAATTACAGGCCTCACCTTTGGTGAGTTTCAAACCGGGCCTTACCAGTTGAGCTAGCCCATATGGGCTGGTAGGAGAACTGTTATAATAGGGTAATCGTCAACAAGAAGTTAACAGGGGATTTAGTTAGCTGTTCAGAAACAACCTCCTGTTACGCTCGTTGGATCATACATGTGCTCGCTAAAATGGTGAGATTCTCATGGCAACAGAGGTTAGGAAAGTAATTCTTCTAATGTATGATGAATGAAAAACTATTTGGAAGTGAGAGGTTTCAATGTGTTCCTCAGTATTCATCTTATTAGTATTTGGTAACTGGAAGTTGAAGGCTCTATTTCTTCCTCATCACTCCTTATAGGAGAGGTATTGGTTGTGTGCATATGTTATTTACTGGATATTTTAATGATTAATGTCCAGCTTTTTTTTGAGGATGAAAATCCAAATTAAGTGCTTATCGGCATGATGTAACATTGAATGTGGATGGCAATAGGTACAGCTAATCATCAATCTGTAGTTGTATCCTTATATCAGAATGTGCTTGTATCTTTTGTGAAGAATTATGACCTTCTTCATATGATAGCATTGGACTTGGATGAACTTTTAGACTATGTGAATAACTCACTTTAAACTCTGGTCTACTCTTCTGTTTAACCAAATTCATGAGAAAGTAACCATCTTTGGTATTCTTCCATTGATTGTTTGCAGATGTCAATTTTGTTTTCAGGTTCTTGAGTGCCATCTAGTTTCAGATCCTCACACTAAAGAATCTCGTGGATTTGGTTTTGTCACCATGGAAACAAATGAGGATGCAGAACGTTGTATTAAGTATCTCCATCGTTCTGTGCTGGAAGGTCGATTAATTTCTGTGGAAAAGGTAATTATTTTCTTTTCAATGGCTGGGAATAATATACTGTTTAATCAGAATAATTATTCACAGTCAACTTTTTATTAGGTTGATTCTGCTCATCTTCAGAAATGTTGCCTGATAAATTTTGGCAGCAGGTCTGGTCTGTGATTCTCTGTAGCTCCACCGAATACACTAAGGTCTAAAGTCTAAACAGTTGAACCTACCCCTTCACGACTTGAGCTCTGCATCGACATTTCAAACTCACCGATTCAAATTCGACTAATTTGCAGAGGGTTGTACGCCCTTAATACCTTTCTTTGATAGTAACAGTATGCCATGGTTATATCATTTATTTTCTTCTATATTTTGAGAAGCCCTGGAGGCATGTTGATTTAAAGAATCTCATGGCTTCAGTTTGTTCTGGTCTTCTTCAATACTCTGAACATTCAATTGGTGTGTGTCTTACTTAAGTTACTCATAACTTTAAATAAATTCAAGGTAGTCTTTGTATGATTGATATATATATATATATATATTGGGTGTGGGGCTATTTGACATGGTTGTTCTATGTCTTCATTAGTAGAAAAACGTAACATGGCTTTAATTTTTCCAGTTTATATTACGGCAACCCTAAAGTCAGTAAACATGCTCGTTTTCAGTTCTTTGGGGACGACTTAAAAAGATGGAAATAATCCATGGAGTATCTTTGTGTGCTTTATCATGACCATAATCCTGGGGAGGGGGCGATTTCCTTCCAATTTCTGGAAATTTGTTATTGTTTTAATTTTCTAAAGAGCAGTATGTGTTAGGCAGCATCATTCCTGTGAGTAAAATAGCTGTCTTATTTATTTTCCGTGATGTTATCTTGCTTTTTGTCTCCATTTGCAGGCAAAAAGGAAGCGTGGGAGGACACCTACTCCTGGAAGGTATCATGGTTTGAGAGATAGACAAGGTACATGCAATATTCATGCATTTATATGGTGTATATGTTTCATAAACTGAAATTTGATATGTTTAATTGGCATCATGGCTGAATTATTTGAACAGTCTATGTACCTGAACTCCAGTTTGAAACGTTTAGAAAATGTAGTATTATCCATTAATTTCTGTTTGGGCCATGATTTGCTCTAGACCTGTGACCTGTAAATTACAATGGTCTAACATGTCATCAATTTCAGTTAGACAAGATCCGGTCAAGAAAAGCCTGTAGTTTATCGATACTAATGAGCAATAGAATGAGAAACTTTAATCAACATCACTGAGTTTGAACTCCTCTGATTTAATTTATGTTTCTTTTGAATTGGTAATTAATATGAAACCATTTTCCAACATCAATTTGTTTAAAGTCCTTTGATTCACTCGATTGGATCATTAGATCTCTGACTTTTGAGATGATTCTGCAAGATTCTGAGAAATATTTCCTAGTTTGCTCACCAGCAGCTGCTTGACCATCTCATATCCCCATAACCTTTTCTTCCATTCCGTGCGATACTGCAATGTTGTGGATGTTCCAAATTTTTTAGCTGATGCAATATTTTGGATTGTGGACAAGTACGAGGTTTAGTGCTGTGTAGACTGCATATTTTTGGAGACTGATGATTCATGAATCCTTCCTGTTTTATCTCCTGTTTTTTTTTTGGTTTTATTACTTTTGTGTCTGTGTATGTGTTTATGCAGGAAATGTTCGGAGACGGTCTCGTAGTTACTCACCTCGTCGCCGATATGACAGAGATCCCTATTCAAGGGATCGGCGAGGAAGATCACGCTCCCCATATGGAAGGAGGACAGAGAGCCATTCTGATTCACATAAGAGGCGCAGGGACCGTTCATTATCAGCTGATGGTAGTGGCTACCGAAGAGCATACTAATTCAATTGCGAGTCTGTATCCCTAGTATATACATGTTCACTAAATTTAATTGGTTTTTCCTTTCAAAGTGTGGGATCCTTGTCACCTTCATCCCCCATTGCTATTTGTATCTCTATTTAACTTGAAACCTATATTCTTATGAGATGCTTCTGTCTTCTGTTTTGGAGAGTCTTATTAGTTGTGTGGTGTCAAACTAGGCTGCTCTCAAATTCCAGCTCTCATGCATTGTTATCCTATTGTTTTGTTATTTGTCTTTGATTGGTAGCACCAGTATTGCCTGTAGAAAAATTTTAAGGGTTTGCTTAGTTCAGTTTTTGTGAGAATAGAAGGGGGTTACATTATTTAGTTTCAAATAATACCAGTATGCATTTTAATTAAATTAAAATTTTAAATTTTCAGTTTGTCAAGAAACACTCTCTCACACGCTTACATTAACAAGCAAGCAAAAGTGTGAGTTATATTTTTTTTTGTCGATTTGTGATTGGCCACGGACCATGTAATACTTGAACCATCACTTATTATTTTGGAAGGGGAGGAAATATTCGCCAGCACTAGCTACTCGGCACATTGTATATGTAGCAATGTAGCAGGCTTGAGCCCAGTTTGTGCTGTCCTCGTGAGATGGGCCAGTGGCCCAACCTCTCTGGCGAGAAGGGAAAAGAAATAGAAAATTTATAAAAAATTTTGTGGTTTGGTTAGCGTGAAAAGAAAAATTTTCAGAAAACAAAAGGAGAGTTTTCTTATACAAATTAATATTCCTAATTTGGTTACAACTCTCTTACTCTTCAAATTAAAATTCTTCACTACACATACAAAACAAAGTAAATTAATCTAATAGATAAAGACAAATACTAAGTACGCATGTGGAACATGTATATTTATTTATAAATCCAATTGTATATATTATTTTTATTATTATTAAATTCATAAGGGTAATTTAATTGTATATATTATTTTACTACTATTATTACTATTTAATTATATATATATTATTATTATTATTTTACTATTAAATTCATCAGGGTAATTTTGACATGAAAAATCATTTTCCTTTCACTCTCTTGCTATCCAAACTAATTAAACAATATTTTTTTACAAGTTTCTTCAAAAATATTCTTGCTAACCAAATGCATAATAGAAAATTAATTTTCTTTTCTTTCAGTTTCTTTTCTTTCACTTTCCATCATCATTTTCTAGCTAACCAAACAGACCCTAGGCTCCGTTCGGTTAGATAGAAATAAGCTAGAAAAGAAAAGAAATAGAAAGTGAATGAAAAAAAAAAAAATTTCTAGCGCGCATTTGGTTAGTATGAAAATTTATTCAAAAAAATTATAAAAAAATATTAGTTTGTTAGTTTGAATAACATGAAAGTGAAAAGAAAATGATTATGCATACCAAAACTACCCTTTTGAAATAAAATGATAGATATATAATTGTTTATATTCATTTCTATTATTTATATTTAAAATAAGACTTCATAATATTTCCTAGGTAAAACTAATTATTAGATTAAGATAAACGAATTAAAAATAAAAAATAAAAAACAAAAAATTAGAGACGAATAGGCAATAATACTGTTTGGGATCGGATTATGAGTGGCTAGAAGCAAGATCTATTTTACCATGTATTTGGTTACTATTAAAGTTTTTCAAAAAAGTTATGAGAAAATATGCTTTTGTTAATTTGGGTCGGATGAAAGTGAAAAGAAAGTGATTATACTTACCAAAATTACCTTTGTATCAGTTAAAGTTTTAAAAATAAATATTGTGCAATAGACGACAAAAAAAATATATATATATAACAAAATAAGGCAATTAATTTTTAGAAGTTGGATTACACATAATTAGAGAGTAGCTCAACAAAATATTAATATTTTTTTCTTTTATTTTTGAACCTCGGCATTAGATATTTTATTTTTAAACCTCCTCATTAGATATTTTATTTTTTCGTTATTAATCACTATTTATGTGGATTATATTAAAAAAATATGCACCTGTCCTATTTTATTGAAAGAAAAAAAAATATATTGTTTCATAAAAATACTCGTCAAAAACTCACAAAGTCACAAAAAAAAAAAGAGTTACCCAACAACAAATACAAACAAGTTAGATAAAATAGAAAAGTCAAATAAAATGAACTCATTTCACGGGAAAATAATTTTTTCACGTGTTTTGTGCGAACAAATAAACAGATATGGGAAACCAAATTTTCTCTTACTTTTACCCTATTTGGACGATTTTTTTTTTGGGTTCCAAATATATACATTGTATCTGATATATATATATATACACACCTCTAATATATACATAGAGAATAATATATATTTTGCTCTTTTTGTGTTTTCTAGTTGAAAGTTCATGAGCCCAATTTTTTTTTTTTTTTTAATTTTTATTTTTAAGCTTCCTTATTTCTCTTAAATGAGTAGTTAGTTATACTTCTACGGTTCTACCTAAGAAGTCTTGAAGTATTGTTTTAATTTAAACAATATAAAAGAATATAAATAATTAAATTAAATAATTCATCATTTTATTAACACTTTGATGAAAATAGACATCATCAAAAACAAATTTATTTATTTATTTTTTAATATTTGAAATCATAAGGGTAATTTTAGTATGTACATTTACTTTCTTTTCATTTTAATGCTATCCAAATTAACAAACTAATATTTTCATACAATTTTTCTGAATAAATTTTCATGCTAACCAAATTCTTGATAAAAAATAACTTTTATTTTCATTAACTTCACTTTTCTTTCATTTTTCATTTATTTTTCTTCTCTAACTTATTTTTATCTAATCAAGCGGAGTATAAGGTATGTCTCATAATTCAAAATTTAGTCACTAATACTTGAAAAGATTGCCCAATCAAAACGATATACAGCCCAAGCCCACATAAAATTTGGGCCATTTGAGCTGAATTCTTAATTAGGCCTACTTGTCTGTCTCATCATATAGTGGGCCCAGTATGCCTTAACTGCTGGGCACGTGGCAAGTTAGCAGCATCAGCCACCACCAACTCGCTGCTTGCCATAGAATATTACAATTCCACTTGTCCATCGGATTAAGCGAGTTCACAATTTTCTATACACTAGCGCGTCGTTTAATCTTTTCCCCATTTTTTTATACGGAGTAATATTTATACTACTATATCTTTTTTAATTCCTAATTTTTTTCAAAGTCTTTCGAACACGGAAGTGACAAACCACACAAGCACACCGAAAGAAGAGTGAAAGCAATTTGGCTTCTCTCTTCTAATTACAGTAGAAGCGAAAGACTGAAGGTATATATATATGTGCGCACAAATTCTGTTCGAAACTCTCCACTCAATCTAAACGTATATATATGATGTATATTTTGTGTGTATGCATGCATATAGCTATGTATACATATATGGATTCTGATTGTTTGATTCATTCTTTTGCTATCATGTTTATGTTGTTTCAGAGTAGGTTTCCTTATCTCTCGCTCGTGTTGTTGATTCTATAGCTGATATATAGTTATATGCAGTTATGTTATATGGTTTATAAATATATTGTATATTTGGATATTGTTTTGAATCGATTTGATGTTGATGTTTATATGGTTTCATGATTGGCTTGGTCGGATTAGGTTTTGGTTTAGGATTTTTTTACATAATTATTGCCCATATTGCTTTTTGTGGTCTAAAATGGTTTTGCGCTTTGGGTTTTTGGACTGTTGTGTGATTAATTTTTCTTTGTCGTTCAAGAGTTATTGTCTTTATATGTTTAGGCTTCCTTAAGTTTTTATTCAGAACTGTTATTGTTGATTGGATTTGATATTATTGATATATTCGGGTCATTATTTTGGTTGATTTGGCTACTGTGTTTTAGGGGATTAGGTATTTTCCTGGTTTATAAATGATTACATGCTCTTTTATTTGGAGCAGGTTTGGTCTGAAAGTAGTAGTCAAAGGTAGGTTTTCTAATTCCTTAGGTGTGTTTCAGTTCGTTTGGTGTTGGTGGCTGTGTGATTTTTTGAGGTAGTATTTCTAATTCGTTGGTGGCCATGACATTTTTTTAGATAGTAATCATGTTTACTCTTCCCTACCAAGAAGTAAAAGTAAGTTGTATATAATCTTACTAATATTAAACGTTAAAATGTTATTTTATTTTATTTTTTATTTATATTTTATAATCTTACTAATATTTAACATACAACTTTACACAATATAATCAAGTGCTGATTTTATGGATATCATGCATTTCCTATATAGACAATACACTCTTGTTTGTTCGATCTCACCCTTGGAGCCTTGCTATTACAAATGAAATTTTCATCCTATATACAAGAAAAACTTCCTTGCACCTTTAATACTTCGTTATCTGTGTCATAAACCAGTTGTATCCACATCAGTAAAAGTGCTTTATTTTAGTGGGCCCTATCACTACATGGTAGGGTGATACCATGTCATCACTACAGCCAGCTCAATTAAGTTTTTCTCCCTATATACAGTCATCTTATTTATCTTCTAAAACTCTCCACATAAATGTCCTGTATATTTATATCTCTACACAACTATCTAATCTTCTAAAAATTTCTACACTACAAATACCTACAAGCTCTCCAATATTCTAGAATCTTCCAACTTTGAGTTCTCAACGCTAGGTGTGATATATTATCTCTAATTCATTCACTCACCAAGCCATGTTCATAGTCTGTTGTCTAGTCAATTCACTGCATAGAGTAAAACAGTGTTGAAAATGGATATGCTTCAGCCAAAGACAATTCCATCATCATGCCACAATTTGCCACTTAAGCTACCCAATGTATCCTAACTAACTCCTTTTTGGTAATATCACTGTCAACAAGTTTGTAAAAATTTACTTCTATATGGATTTATGGAATTTTATCGCCATGAGTGCAATCAAGATAACACACAAATATATTTGTTCTTAAACAACAGTGTTACACCATGGATTTATGGAATTTTATCGCCAAGATAACACACAAATATATTTGTGCTCTTGAACAGCGGTGTTACACTCTTGTACAAGAGGAGAAGAAATAAAAATCAAAACTTGTTCCAATAGTCCAATTTCAGTTGACCTTGTTTCATATATACTTTTGTGGAATACCTTTTTTCTTCAAAAATAGTAGGATATTGTTTTTTTATGCCAATTTACTACCTAAAAATTAGGTTGTTCACTACATGGATTATATAACATTATTGCCATCTGGTTGTTGCTGTGTAACCTGTGTTCCAATCATCTGGTTTTTGCTATGTTCTAATTATTTGTATCTATTTGTAGTTCTTCCTTGTTTCGTTCATTTATTTTGTTTTCATGTAAGCCGTTCCATTTTGCTTGCTTTTCGTCAACAATTTTCTCAGTGTCTACCCTTGTGCGATGCTTATTGAAGTCATCAATTATATTTGGACTTTGATATTTCTATGTTTTATCTAAGAAGGTGTTCTTTTCTTATGCCAAAGGAAAGGAGACTATGAAACAAGTGCCGATAACTTTAGGTGGATAACAAAGATAACTGAATAGGAATGGGAGGCTGCTGCTGCTGTTGTTCTTCTAGCGAAGTGGAACTCAACGGTTCACAGCCATTGTATCATGTTAGTAGTATCTCTCCTTCACACCTGATTCTTTTCTGATCTAAATGATCCTTTAATTTTCAAGCTTGAGCAGAAGTTTGTCTTCATAATGTGAAAGTGATTTTTTGTGCTAAGTTCTAAATTTTCTTAAGGTATCACTATGCTATTTACAATTTCCTCTATATGATGGTGCTAGCATTACTTCATAAAATGACATGAAGAAACAACGGAAAATATGTTAATTTTTAGATTTTAAAAGTCACATGTCATTCATTCCCGGAATCAAAGGTGATTCTGTTTGGTCATATTTTACTTTTTAAATCAGCGATTTCAAGGACTAGGATGTTCATGTTAGGATTTAAGTTAATTAGGCATTTAGGCTTTTGGTGCGAAGATTATGTATTGGTTTTATAAGCCTCTTGCCATTATCTTTTATGGAGGTCTGAAGGATTTTTGCTGTCCTTAACTGAATGCTAAGCAAATTGGTCCGCTCCTAAGTCTAAAAACTTGGTGCATTTGCTCTTTGTTTTTTTTTTTTTACTTCATCGATTGTATGTTTCTTTCTTTTATTAGTGTAAAGTCAAAGTTTTGTGGTTTTCATATCAAATATGTGCATATGAAGTTGGAACGAGCTCTAGTGGTTGAAATGTCAGTGAAGAATTGCGTGGCGGTATGTTGAAAAGCGACAACAGCAAGACATGTTTGTGATATTGGATAAAAAAAGTAATCTCTTGGATTGAAACATGAGGTAGCTGCAAACATCTGAGCATAATCATGGATCTGATGAAAACCCTTTTACTGTTGTACTTCGTGAGAATCGTAGAAGATTAATCTTTTATATCAAATGATATTTAGTCTAAGAGTGAGGTTACAGTGGAAATAGTTTCGCATGCTGAGTTTCATGTATATTCTAACCCTGTGATTTTTTTTATTGGATTCTTACTTCTTTTTTTCTTTTTCTTTTTTTGTTTAAAAGATAATTCCCCTCTGAGAATGGGTGGTCCATTCTGCGGCTTTTAGATCTCCTCTTGAATTCTGTTGCTATAGACACAATACTTAGAGTGTCAGAATCACAATTAAAATGATTGTTTCAGAAATGATGTAAAAATATGTCCATTTTTTTATTTTTTTATTTTATGTGATATCGAGTGACATCTTGTCGGAAAATTTAGAAAAGTATGAAAAGAGCAGTGTGCATGAACTAATGCAGTCTGTAATTCCTGTATCAAGATGAATGTCTGTTGCATTGTATATGGAGTTTGAATGAAGCATGTCACATTACAAAAAAATTGTAAACAAATAGGCTATGGATTATGTGGACCAGTTCTGAAATATCTGTGGTTCTGTTCCAATTTATTATTGAATCCAGGGGATGGATTTCAGGCTTCTCAGAGATACCTGACTTGAAAAACAAAATAGAAGTATTAATCAATTGAAGAGCAGCAAATAGACATTGTCATAAACTCGATGTTCTTGCTTTGGTCATCTAAGTCCATGTACTAAGAATATAGTGGTGTTTGGGATGGGGATCAGGTTGGGAGTGGGAAAAATTGGGCCTCATCAATGACCATAAAGAAGTCTCCCTTCAGTGAAGGGGCTGAAATAAATGTCTTTAAGCCTTTTGCGCCTTCTTTCAGTTTCCATTGTTTCACTATTCATGGAAATATGTGGCATGCGGTGCACGTCTTCATTTAATCGTGTGATCTCAGCAAAGTTGGCGATTTGGAGGAAGTTTCACCTGGTTAACGAAGTATTTTCCATTATCATATGTGTTGAAAAAGAGACATTCGGTTTTAATAAGACCAGATTTTAGGGGATATGATAGGCGTGTAAATATAGATAGTCAATGACTAAGATTAGGAAATTCTGCCTGTAACTTCTGTTAGTGTACAACCTGTAGTTTACTGTTACAGTCTGTAGTCAACCTGTAGTTTCCTTTTTTAGCCCATTGTATTTCCTATTTAACTAAAGCATTGTAAACCATTCAAAGTATGGCAATATACAGATTCTTTTCAATCTTGAAATCGCCTATTTGGTATCAGAGCATCTTACCGATTATTCTGGAAAAAAAACCCTTAGCCGTCTTTTTTTTTTTTTTTTTTTTTTTTTTCTCTCTCTTCCAAACAACCCTAATCACCATGTCTGGTGACGTACCTGAGTCCATGACCAAGACCTTTGAGTCCCAAGTCCAAAACTCTCAGACACACTCGGTCCAGATTACCACAATTCGGCTAAACGGTGAAAACTTCCTTCGTTGGTCCAAGTCCGTGCGGATGTACATCCGAGGCAGAGGCAAAATCGGCTGCCTAACAGGAGAAAAGAACGAACCGAAACCTGAAGATCCATCCTACTCGACCTGGGATGTAGAGAATTCGATGGTGATGGCCTGGTTGGTGAATTCTATGGAGGAGGACATTAGTTCTAATTATATGTGTTACCACACAGCAAAAGAACTCTGAGACAATGTCAACCAGATGTATTTAGACCTGGGAAATCAGTCTCAAGTCTATGAACTAATGCTGAAACTCGGAGAGATCCGTCAAGGAGATAATAGTGTTACAAAATATTTCAACTCTCTAAAACGTTTGTGGCAGGACCTTGATTTGTTCAACGATTATGAGTGGAAATCGCCTGAAGATTGCAACCATTACAAAAAGAAGGTGGAAGGCAACTGCATCTTCAAGTTTCTCATTGGACTCAATGTCGAGTTTGATGAAGTGAGAGGCAGAATAATTGGACGACAACCCCTGCCTTTAATCGGTGAAGTCTTCTCCGAGGTTCAAAGAGAGGAAAGTCGCAGGCTGGTCATGCTTGGAAAAAAGTTATCAAATGGTGCTGTTAAGACCTCTGCCTTGGTCGCATCTGAAGCGAATATTGGTAGGAAACATAATGAAAAACCCCGTCTTTGGTATGACCACTGCAACAAGCCTCACCATACCCGTGAAGCCTACTGGAAAATTCATGGTAAACCAACGAATTGGAAGAGTAAGCAGGAAGGCAGATTCAACCGAGCCCCATCAGCTAATGAAGCCGAGGCACTTCTCTTCAGCAAAGAACAGATGGATCATCTTCTAAAATTGCTGAAATTCAATTCCTCGTCTGGCACTCCTAATGCTTCTCTTGCTCAAACAGGTAACAACCCGAAGGCCTTATCTTGTCGTTCAAATTCCAGTGTTACCCCATGGATCATTGATTCAGGGGCTTCTGACCATATGACAAGTTTTTCTCATTTATTTCAAACTTATTCACCTTGTTCTAGCTCTGAAAAAATCAGAATAGCCGATGGTTCTTATTCTCCTATTGCAGGCAAAGGTTTGGTAAAACTTTCAAAAATTATTGATCTTAAGTTTGTCCTTCATGTCCCTAAGCTTGCTTGTAACCTTTTATCAGTTAGTAAATTGTCCAAAGACTCTAATTGTCGTGTTATCTTTTTTAAATCCTATTGTGAATTTCAGGACCAGAGTTTGGGAAAGACGATTGGCAGTGCTAAGATGATAGATGGTCTCTACTATTTTGAAGATGATATTTCAAGTAATAAAAAGGCCAAGGTTTGAGTAGTTTTCGTTCTATCCCTGTTAGAGAACAAATAATGCTATGGCATTTTAGACTAGGGCATCCTAGTTTCCCTTATCTTAAAAAATTATTTCTTACTTTGTTTAAAGGATTGGATTGTTCATCTTTTTATTGTGAGAATTATTTTTTTATCAAAGAGTCATCGTACTACGTATTCTCCCAAACCTTACCAAACATCAAAACCATTTTATTTAATCCATAGCGATGTTTGGGGCCCTTCTAGGATCACAACTCTTTCTGGAAAAAAATGGTTTGTGACTTTTATTGATGATCATGCATGTTTGTGTTAGGTGTATTTAATGAATGAAAAATCCGAGATTGAAAAATTATTCAAGGATTTTTATATGATGATTGAAAATCAATTTTAAACAAAATTTGTCATTCTTCATACTGATAACGGCACCAAATACTTTAATGAAGTTTTAGAAGTTTTTTAACAAAAAAAGGAATTTTTCACCAATCCACTTGTGTTGACATGACCCAACAAAATGAAATTGCTGAAAGAAAGAATAAACATTTGCTTGAAGTTTCTCGTGCCATCATGTTTTCAATGAATGTTCTTAAGTATTTGTGGGGTGAGGCCGTTTTAACAGCAACATATTTGATTAACAGGATGCCTACTTGTGTTCTTAACTATTTTACACCCCTTGAAAGCCTTAAAAAATCTTTTCTTGAAACTCGGATTTATTCCAACCTGCCTTTGAAAGTATTTGGGTGCACTGTCTTTGTCCATTTACCTAATAGACTTCGGTCTAAATTGGATCTTCGGGCTGAAAAATGTGTATTTGTTGGGTATGCCCCGAATAAAAAGGGGTACAAATGCTTCAATCCGAAAACAAAAAAAAATGTTTATCAGTATGGATGTATTTTTTCTAGAAAATCATCCTTATTTTCAGAAAACTTTTCTTCAGGGGGAGAAAGAGAGTGAAGACAATTTTTAGGAGATTTCTACTAATATTCCCTTGCCTAAAACTATTGTCTCACACTTTATTACTCCAAACGCTGATCTTTTTAAACAAGAAAATGATGTTCTAGAATCAGGAAACCCGGGGCCTCCTAGTCCTAATCTGCCGAGCCTTACTGTATCTCCAACAGGGGGAGAAATCCTACCAACGGTTCTAAAAAAACCGAATCCTGAACTTTTGGTTTATAACAGGAAAAAGACTCATCAAAAGAGTAGAGAGCCTACTATTGTACCTGAGCAAGGCTAATCAGAGGTCCCGAGCATTGACTCCCTGAACACTCAAGGTACTCTAAATTCTAACTTGTCTAGAGTTGTCCTTACTATTTCTGATCGTACAGAGTCACCTAGCCAAGTTCCTGTAGACCTTGATATCCCTATAGCTGTTTGAAAAGGAATCCGAACCTATACCCAGTATCTCATTGCCAAATACTTGTCTTATGATAAACTTTTCCATAAACATAGGGCCTTTACTTCAAATATTTCTCACTTGTTTGTTCCAAGAAACATTCAGGAAGTACTAGATGATCCGAATTGGAAATCAGCAGTGTTAGAGGAGATGAATGCTCTTAAAAGGAGTGGAACGTGGGAGATAGTTGACTTACCCAAAGGAAAGAAAACTGTTGGGTGTAAATGGGTTTTCACTAGTAAGTGTAAAGCTGATGGTAGTGTGGAAAGGTAAAAGGCAAGATTTGTGGCGAAAGGTTTTACGCAAACGTACAGCATTGATTACTAAGAGACGTTTGCTCCTATAGCAGAAATAAATTCTATCCGAGTCTTATTGTCGTTGGCAGTCAATTCTAACTGGCCATTACATCAGTTGGATATAAAAAATGCCTTTTTAAATAGAGACTTGGAAGAAGAAGTGTTTATGAGCTTGCCACCTAGGTTCGAAGGAGAACACGGTTAGAGCAAAGTCTGTAAACTCAAAAAATCCATGTACGGTTTGAAACAGTTTCCAAGAGCGTGGTTTGAATGCTTTGGAAAGGCTGTGAAGAGTCATGGGTATCATTAGAGTTAGGCAGACCATACCATGTTCTACAAACACGGTGAGGAAGGGAAAATTGCCGTTTTAATTGTGTATGTGGATGATATAATTTTGACAAGTGATGACATTGAAGAGTTGACCAGACTGAAGAAGAAACTTGCTAAAGATTTTGAAGTCAAAGATCTGGGAGCATTAAAATACTTCCTTGGAATGGTATTTGCCAGGTCAAGAGAAGAAATTTTCGTGAGTCAACGAAAATATGTACTTGATTTGCTTAATGAGACAGGACTACTCGGCTGTAAAGCTGCTGACACTCCAATTGAAGTCAACCTGAAGTTAGAAGCTACCGAACCCGAGAATATGGTTGATCGTGAAAGATATCAGAGATTAGTGGGAAGACTAATTTACTTATCTCACACACGCCCAGATATAGCATTTGCAGTCAGTATGGTGAGTCAGTTCATGCACTCTCCTGGACAGGAACACTTTGAAGAAGTGTGCAGGATTCTAAGATACTTAAAGGGCTCACCAGGTAAAGAACTTATGTTCAATAAACAAGGTCATTTGCAAGTGGAGGTGTACACAGATGCTGATTGGGCAGGCAGTATAGTTGATAGACGATCTACCTCAGGATATTGCACCTTCGTTGGAGGAAACTTAGTCACGTGGCGAAGCAAGAAACAAAATGTAGTATCGAGGAGCAGTGCAGAAGCCGAGTTCAGAGCACTAGCCCATGGGATTTGCGAAGCTATATGGTTAAAACGACTCCTTGAAGATTTGAAGGTTATTGTTTCTCCTCCAATGAGAGTCTACTGTGACAACCAGGCTACCATTTCAATTGCTCATAATCCAGTCCTCCATGACAGAACCAAACATGTGGAAGTTGACAAACACTTTATCAAGGAAAAGCTTGACTGTGGTATGATTTGCATTCCTTATGTCTCTACTACTGAACAAGCTGCAGACATCCGTACCAAAGGACTATACAAGAGACAGTTTGAAGTTTTAAGAAGCAAGCTAGCTATGGAAGACATCTACAAGCCAGCTTGAGGGGGAGTGTTGAAAAAGAGATATTCGGTTTTAATAAGACCAGATTTTAGGGAATATGATAGGCGTGTAAATATAGATAGTCAATGACTAAGATTAGGAAATTTTGTTAGTGTACAGCCTGTAGCTTCTATTAGTGTACAGCATGTAGTTTGCTGTTACAGCATGTAGTCAGCCTGTAGTTTCCTTTTTTTAGCCCCTTGTATTTCCTATTTAACTAAAGCATTGTAAACCATTCAAAGTACGGCAATATACAGATTCTTTTCAATCTTGAAATCGCCTATTATATGGTTATTAACTTTTTGACAAGTCAACTAATGAACGCTGAATATGGGTGGAAAATGGTGATGATGGCTATGTTTTCGGTCTTAATTATTACCAAAACTTGGTTGAATCCTTTGCTACTTCGGTACTTTTATAATAGATTGCTGGATGATGATATTTATTTGGGAATGTTGAAAGTACCAGTTAACTTTTCTTTTCTTTTTTCCCTAATTAGTACCAGTTAAATTCTTTGATAATTGATTAAATAGTGTTCCAGATCCAAGATAAATTTGGCCTTTGATTGCTTACTGAACATAACACATGGAAGTAAAAGAATTTAATCTGTTCTCTTCCAAAGTTCTGTTCCATGGATGCACCTGCTGTGGATCACTATATAAACAATCTGTAAAGTGTTGCTTAGATGCCTGCTTCAAGAACTAGCTTGAAACTAGTTTTGCTTTTATTGACCCGGTGAACATAGTCATAAGTGCGTGTTGTATCTTCCACAAGTTCCAAGTGTTCACATATATATGGTGAAACATTTAGCAAATGATCGGACTTCAAATGCTGACAATTTTATCCGAATACTCTCTCTCTCTCTCTCTCTGTGGATCACTGTTAGGATAATCTGCTAAGTGCTTCTTAGATGCCTGGTTCAAGTACTGGCCTGAAACTATTTTTGCTTTTCATTGACCCGGTAAACATAATCATAAACCCGTCTTGTACGTTCTACAAGTTCCTAGCCACCCACATATATATGGTGAAACAATTAGCAAATGCTAAGACTTCAAATGTTGGCATTTTTATCTGGATACTCTCTCTCTCTATCATATGGTTCTGAGACGTAGATTTAATTACATGCTTATCATGGTTTAGATGAATTTTACCACAAGAATGTTTAATTTCTTGCTATTGAAGTCATTTTATGAGTTTATTCTCTCTGGTCTCTGGAATTTCCACTTCATTTTGCAGTATTTAAGAGTGTCAGAGCAGCATGAGCCGCCATCGTCTCAACGTGGCACAGCCTCTGTACTCCCTACTGGGTTATTAGTTGATACAAACCTAGGAACTTCAATCCCTGACACTTGTAGATCACCTCCAGCACCTGTGCAATGTGATGCAAATCTAGGACACCCTCGTACTCCACCAGGCAATCGAGAATATTCAGGCAACAAGAATGATGCGGCAGTGCAGCCAACAAATACTGAGCCAGCTGAACGAACAGATGCCGGAAACTCTTTTGAAGCTAAAGACCTGAAGGGATCTGTCTGCAAAGGGCAAAGTGAGATTGAACTGGCCTCAACAAAAGAGAAGTCTGGCGAACTAAAAAAATCAGGTGAGCCTCTTGTCTCAGCACAGGAGGAAGAGGAGGATGTTTGTCCCACCTGTCTTGAAGGTAATGAAATTTCATTATTAGTCACCACTAATTCTTCCTGCTCATCAATTTTTATGTGCTGGGCGATCTTTCTGAATTTTTTGGAATTTAAATTACTCAAACATATTCTATTTTATTTGGGCTATAAAAGTTTGAATATATGACTTTCTGGTTCTTCCTGCAGAGTATGACGCTGAGAATCCAAAAATTATCACAAAATGTGAACATCATTTTCACCTTTCTTGCATTTTTGAATGGATGGAAAGAAGCAATACTTGTCCAGTATGCGATCAGGTTTGCCTTGAATTTAGTTTTACTTTTGCTGTGTTTAGCATATTAATTTAATTAGATAACCGGTTACCATGTATGTTATGCAAGCATTGTGCTTCATTTCTGGTGCAGGAAATGATATTCAGCCCCGCCATTGATGTTGGCTAGCTATTTTCAAATCTGCAATAAACTTCTTAGCTTTTTGTGATCAAAGTCGAATCCGTGGTTGTGGATGCGTGACGGTTGTCAATTTTCCAGTGTTCAGTGGCTGCCTAAGATTTAGCTCTGTTGTGGTGATTTTGTTTTTGAAGGAGGCATTTCTTCTATATGCCAATTGTCTTGGTTTCTTTTGAATTTTGACAAAAAGTTAAAAAGAAACGAAAAGGAAACAAAAAGGAAGAAAATGGAAATTGACACGATATAAAACAATCCTTGGTCATCATTTATTTTTCTGTATATTCGTTCTTAACGTATAGATCAGCATATTAGAACTAGTACAATTGGGAGAGTTGCATAGAAAAGATTGGAAATAGGATGGATTTTTTGTTACTTTGTCAAAGAACAGAAGCGTGAGGCTGGCATTCTCTGCCTTATGTTGCTTCCATTTGATTGATTAGTCTCTCTCTCTCTCTCTCTCTCTCTCTCTCTGCCTGTGTGCTTGTAACTTTTCTTTGAATCTGCAAGTTAGATCCTTTTTTTATGTGTGTAGTTTTGGATGTGTGATAGTTCGGTTCCTGTGACAATCTTGCCTCCGAACCAATTCTGTAAATTTAAAGTGTTATGATTGATTCATGTGTATAAAATTGCCGGTTTTAACATCTGAACTTCAATAAACTTTACAGGTAGGTGGATCATAGATGTACATGATCCTGTAGTTCGGTGTTTCACATTTGTGTTTGCTAACCTAATCTTGTTATCAATTGTTGCTTTTCCTAGCACAACCAGCATTAGTGTGATGAATGTGTATCAAATATATTTGTGCTTTTTGTATGTGAAAAAATTGTGACCAAATTTTTTGTTGTTTATTCTCAAATGGTGTTCCATATGGTTAAATTGTAGAATAAGGCTCCATTTGGATTGAGGGATAGGAATTAAAAAAATGAATGTATTTAAATTTAATTATTTAAGGGGGTGTGGTTTGAATATTGTTTTTTTCGGTCAACCATTTTGCTCATTTTGAGACTCGAACACTCACCATCCATTTTTAGATGTAAAGAAAATACCATTGAGCCATAAGGCCTTGGCGTGTAGTTTTAACTTGGATTTTTAAATTTTTGATAGTCTTATTTGTGTGGATTTCATATTAAGATATAAAATATATTATTATTTAAAATCCATACCAACTTTTTGGATCTCAAACTTCTGTCCTAACATTTATATTCCTCAAATAACTTTAATAATCCATCATTTTATTCAAATCTCATATACCTTCATTTCAAATCTATATATACCACCATGGTCGGATTGATGGTCTGGAAAAGAGTGGGTGTTTGAATTTACAAATGTATTGGAAAATCAGCTATGGCCTATGGGAGTTGGATCAAATGAATGAGAAATTATTTTATGGTCCGGTGGACATCTAATCAAATAAGTTATTTTTATTTTTATTTTTGATTTGTGTCATTTTTTCATTGGCCGTAGGTAGAAAATGTCTAGGAATACGTGGTCCCGGTCAAATAACACTTCATGCAAGCAAATGTCTCAACTTTAAATTAAATCGAAATTCATTCTTCAAATTGAACCTAATTGATAAACAACAATTTCTTCAATTGAATACTCTTAGGAAGTGCAAACTGAAGAACTTGGACAAAAAATTTAGCTCCAAACTAATCCATGTAATGTGACTGAGCTATCAAAGCTTATGGTTGTCTCTCCATTCTAAAGCTTAAATGTTTTTATTTTTTATTTTTAATTAATATGGATCGCCATTAAATAAGAAACTCTAGTGCTGTTTTTGGTTCTTTTAATTTTTCTCTTTTTTTTTTTTCCCCTTGAAGGATCATCTTCTCAAGCCTTTCATAATTATATAATAATAATAATAATATTATTTTAAATATAGCCTTAATCCATCCCCGTTTGGGAAGGAAATGAAAAATATAATAATAATAATAATAATACTAATAAAAGGAGGAGGAAAGATTAATGTTTTTGGACATGTTTGGTTTATTTATTTAATTTTGTTGCGAGATAACAAAAAAGTACAAAACGTTTCGTTCGTAATTCAATAAAAGGAAAAGGAAAAGAAAAAGGTTGAAAGAAGCGATGCCTTTTGCTCATAAGTCGCTGATTTGTTCTCTCGAAAGTGGATGAAGACAAGGAGGAAAAGGGCTTGCATTCCCATTCTTTGTTACTTGTATTATTCTATTCTTTAAAAGAGAACAAAAAGGCACTCTTGCTTTAATATGTAAAATTAAACTCCACCTATTTTTTTTTTTTTTTTTTGCTTCATGTTTGATAAAATGGCAAGCAGTAGTTATAATTAACTTTCTGTATAATAATAATTATATATATATATATATTACATATGAGAGTCTGTTGATGTATCATAGATCTTTTTATTTATTTATTTATTTTTTTAATAAAAATCAGTTTACCTTTCTTTAATCTCTTTTACCTTTTATTTTTTTGAGGGGTTTTGTATTTCAACCAATGTTGATGTATCATAGCGCTTTTTTTTTTTCTTTTTTTTTTACCATTACTTAATCTCTTTTACGTTCTATTTTAATTTTTTTATTATTATATTTTTTCAGGGGTGCCGAATTGTATATCAAACGGATGCCAATGGTGGATGTTCATTTATTTTACCATTAGACCAAAGACCCTTCGATAATAATAAATAAATAAACGGACAAATTAAAGCTTGTTAATAGATAATGAAAGGAAACTATTACAAACCGACATAAAAAAATTATAAAATAAAAAATAAAGGAATGTCAAGATAATTTTTTAGAAGAGGATTGTCAATGTAACTATAAAAATCCTAAAAAGATGTTATTTTAATACTAAAGTGTTGTTTAAAAACTCAATTCTGTACTTAATTCTGAACGAAGTAAGCGTTTATTCAATTAAGTGTATTTGATAACGCAATTTGAATATCACTTAAAACGGTAAGAATTATTAAAAATAGGGTAAAATTTTAAATGACGGGGATATCACTTATCACTGAAAATTAAAAAATCAAAAATCAAAAAATATTTATTTTTTTATTACCGCTTAAAGACTTCAGTACTTAAAATTCAATTTTTAAAATTTTCAATACTTAATTTTCAGTTTTATCATACAACACCTAAGATTATGATTTTTCATTATTATCATTGTTTTAATGACAAAACGATGTGATGGGCTTGGGCTTTCTAATTGTTTTATATATTTGATTTTAATAGGTAAATTGGATGGTTGAGTGGCTTCAGTTGGCTCTAGGGATGGCTTGATATAATTTGAGATCTTAGTAAAAAAAAAATAAAATAGTAGTGTTTTAATATGTAATATATTAACATCAAATAATAGTTAATTATATTTATTTAAATCATTCTACTTGCTTTTTGAGATGCGAAGATATTAATTACATTATTGTATTCAAGTTTTATAAAGGTTTTTTTAAATATATAATATAACCATTCCAATAAATATAAACTCTATAATTACCGAAGGTATTGTGTCTTAATAGTATCTTCTCTACTTCCCAAAGTGAATGGTAAAGATTCTAGTCTCTAAATGAATAAAGTGAATTTGTACATGTGAAAAAAATAAATCTATAATTTAAAAAAAGTAAAAATTTTATGGAAAAAATAATATAAGAAAATAAATAAATTTGGGGTTTCTACTATTGGGGGTATAATAATATAACGAAATAAAATTTGAAAGGTAACAAAGGGAATAAATTTTTTGAAGCTTGTGTGTCTAATAATATAAGAAAATAAAAGTTAAGGGGTGTAACAAAATTTTTTGAGGCCTTCTGTTGGTGGGGCACTGGGGCTTTAGGGACCACTTAAGGCTCTGGCGGGTCGTGACCGAATTAAATAAGATTAATCTATTTATAGCAATATATATAATCTATAATTACTATTAAGAATGTAAGTCATTTTTATATTTTATATTATTTTATTTAAATAAAAGTAATACTAATAATACTAATAATAATATATTAGAATGAAATTTAATTAGAGACAAAAATATATAATATTTAAAAACTGAATTATTGAAATTTGATAAAAAGAAATCTAATTAGAGAAATAAGTATATAATATTAAAATTTTATTTATATAATTCAATAAAATAAAATTTAATTAGAGGAGCAATACCACTAATAATAATATAGTAGTAGAAAATAATAGAATTCAATAAATAGAAATCTAATTGGAGAAGTAAATATATAATTTATTTCAATAAAAACATAACAACAATTCTATATCAAAATATAAGATTAAGTGCAAAAAACCCTTTTTACTATCCATATAGTACAAAAAGGTCCATGTGTGGTATAAAATCGCCCTATATTATCAATTTGATGCAAATACCTTCTTTTCGAATAAAAAGATTATAATATTCTCTTGCCAATAAAATTAAATAATATTTTAAAAAATTAAGCAATGTGAAATTACCATTTTAGACAATTCTCAAACTCATCCACAAAGCTAACATTTTTGTGACAAATAAACCCTTAAAAATACTCCTATGTCTTTTAATTTAAGGGCTAATTGATCATTTTACTGTAAGCAATATCCTTCTCTCTGTGGCAATAATCCATGGCTGCACAGATCGCGTCCAGACTCCAAGTAGTGAGAGTTGTTGATGAGATTGATAAGTGAAGGGATCAGTTTTTTTATGAATTATGTTTAGAAAAAGTTTACATAATTTTTTTTTTTTTTTTTTTTTTTTTTTTTCTATTAATCAAAGTAGTGTGAAACAGTAGTGGGGACCAGTTTTTTTATGAAAAAAAACAGAGCTATATTATATATATATAATTTTGTTTCATCATAGACCAAAAAACAAAAATTGAAGAACATATTTGAAAAAGTAAAAGTAAATGATTTTATATGTATATATAATTGAAAAATTATAAATTCCTTACCAAAATTTATTAAGAAGAATAAACAAATAATTTGAAAGCATTACATAAAATATGAAATTATATATGTATAGTATTCATATAATTTCAGATCTAAAGAAATACATATTTACATTTAATATGATTCATACTAAAAGCAAAATTGTATATTATTCATATAATATGTGACCTAGAAAAATAAATATTTACATTTAATATGTTTCATATCTTTGACCTAAAGAAATAAATGTTTCCATTTAATATGATTCATACTAAAAATAAATTTAAAAAAAAAAGGACAAAAATAAAAAAAAACATATTCTTTGATCTCGGTGATATGAGAAAAGGGCAAATTTGGATTTTTAAATTTACTTTATGTCAATTTTGACCACAAAGTGGTTAGAGAGGCTTAGTTGTATATTTTTTTGAATTTTATGGATTGAAATATACCTTTTCAAAAAGGAGGAATGCATTGTGCACATAACTTATATTACATTGGGTTTTCTGCATTTCGTCCTAAAATATACCAATAAAATCATAAACTAAGATTCTATCTACCAAATTATTTTTATATATAATCTTTTATAATAAAATCACTATTTTTGTAATTTTATTGTCAAAGCAGTTAGGGTTTTTATTATTGAGAGGGAAAAATATAAACCTACCCTACCTTTGATAAGATTGATTAGATTTCATTATCAAGGATAATGAAATCAAATCTGACGTGGTTCAATAGGTAAGAATAATCCTATTATAACTGGAGGAGGTCAAAAGGATTAAATCATATCCTCGACAAATCTGACAACAAATCTCCTATGATTTCGCACAAGCGGAAGATAAGATAAACCATCGATATCGGCGGAACGATTTTGATTCCAATCGACAGCCATAAATAGGCTACCAAGCCATTAAAGAAGGGACGACGTAAAAACTATTATTAATCCCTGTCTTCTTTTTAGACCTCCGTGACTAATTTGATCGTCAGATAGCTCTTTGCAGGCACCATACCGGTGCCGTCAAGGTTCATTGATCTTCTCCTCTCTTCCTTGCAGGAAAACGGTATCGTATCGGACTGCGCGAATTTTAGCCTCAACAGTTGACGCCGTTTGTGGGATCGACGATTCCTTTGAATCAATTAATTACTCGTTGGGTATATACGTTTGCAGTCCGGTATGGTTATCGAAGAAACACTGTCGCAGGGATCTGGTCAAAGGGTAGAGTCGGGTGAAAACCTGGACGTCCCAAACGACCAGGCACGGCTTGCAGTGTTGGAACTGCAGGTTCAAACTCTGAGTCAGGGTATAAACCAGTTGATCCAGCAAAATGCAACGCTCTTGCAACACCTTGTTCCACCGGTTCAACAAAACTTTCCAGGACAAGATCTCTCAAGTCCAAACGGAGGTAATGGGAATCTTGAAGAGAAGGATAATCATCCCCCCCAAAATGAGACTGAAGTGGAACAAAGCCAGGTGGGAACCCGACATAGAGAGGTGATTCACCCATCTCTCCCACGGAGTTCCTGACCTCCTGAAAGCATAGCCTTCTGTCTTAAGGAAAAGACAAAGAAAGTTACCCATCTCGACTTGCAGATTAAGGATCTCAAGGGGAAAATGGAAGATGTAATGCAGGCTATGAAAAAGAAAGGTCTTGCCGCCGTAGATGACCGGGTACAAAGGACCAACCTGCCTTTCAGCCCCGCCGTTATGAAATGTCCACTACCAAGCAAGTTCAGGATGCCCTCGTTTGAAAGCTTCGATGGGACCAAAGATTCCCTCGATCACCTGGAAACTTTTCAAGCTCTTATGCATTTACACGCTATGTCAGATGAAATCATGTGTCGAGCTTTTTCCATTACACTTAAGGGATCAGCGAGAGTTTAGTTCAACAAGTTGAAGCCAGGAACCATCAACACCTTCGAAGAATTGAGTAAGCAGTTTATGAGCCATTTCATTGCAGGTCAGAGGCATAGGAGGCCGGCTACCTACTTGTTTACTGTAGAGCAACAAAAGGAAGAGTCGATTCGGGAATACATCACCCGATTCAACGCAGAGATGTTGTAGGTAGAAGAGGTGGACGACAAGGTAGCTTTGACCGCTTTCATAGGAGGACTCCAAACCTCTAGATTCTTGTTTTCCTTATCAAAAGAACCTCCCACTAGTATGATAGAGTTGCTGGTCAGAGCGCAAAAACACATCAACGCTGAAGACACCATGAGTGCACGGAAGGAAGGAGAGGACAAGAAGAGGCCAGCCCCTCTCGCCAGGGATGAAAATAATACCAAATATAAAAAATCGTTCTTTAGCCAGAGTGATAGCACATATCATGAGAATGACTCAGATGAGTATACCGACTAGAAATTGTCTCACGGCTGGAATTAGCCTTATCAAGTCATTCACAATAAAGACTGGGGGCATATTGGTTAATCATTTTAAATGGAGGGTAACTCTATCATGTGTTATTTTGTTTTTAATAAGCCTTGAGGCAATGATGATCTTTAATAAAATTCCTTTTAGTTTATACGTGCAGTATCCCCGTACTATAAGGGATAGTAAATGAGTGTCCTGTATTACAAGGACCCGGGCTGAGTGAATCCCGTAATCCGTATCCCCGTACTATAAGGGAATAGTAAGTGAGTGTCCTGTATTACAAGGACCCGGGCTGAATGAATTCCGTCATCCATATCCCTGGACTATAGGGGATAAATATCCTGCATTATCAGGACCCGGGCTGAATGAATCCCGTCATCCATATCCCCGTAATATAAGGGATAATAAATGAATGTCCTGTACTACAAGGACCCGGGTTGGATGAATCCCGTAATTAATATCCCCTCACAATAAGGGATAGTAAATAAAAATCATTTATTAAAGAGGTGAGCTGAGTAAAATTCGTAAAGTTCAATTCCTTTACTAAATGGACGAGTTGGGTAAAACTCGTAAAGTTCAATTCCCTTATTAAGGAGTGAAATTCATACAATTTATTCCCTTATCAAAGGAAAAGTATTGTTCCCTCGGGTAAAAAAAAAAAAAAAAAATTCCTGAGTTACTATTCACGTGAATAGTGCCCACAGGAATAGTACCCGCGGGTACTGTTCACAGGGGTTGAAAAAAAATCCTGAGTTACTATTTATGTGAATAGTGCCCGCGGGTACTGTTCATAGGGGTTGAAAAAAAAATAAAAAATATTATTATTATTTATTACATTCCCAAAACTAGACGTGCAAGCTTGGGAATGGGGGGCAACTGATAGGGAAAAATATAAACCTACCATACCTTCGATAAGAGTGATTAGATTTCATTATCAAGGATAATGAAATCAAATCTGACGTGGTTCAACAGGTAAGAATAATCATATTATAACTGGAGGAGGTCAAAAGGATTAAATCATATCCCCGACAAATCTGGCAACAAATCTCATATGATTTCGCACAAACGGAAGATAAGATCAACCATCGACATCGGCAGAACGATTTTGATTCCAATCGATAGTCATAAATAGGCCACCAAGCTATTAAAGAAGGGACGACGTAAAAACTATTATTAATCCATGCCTTCTTTTTAGACTTCCGTGACTAATTTGATCGTCGGAGAGCTCTTGGCAGGCACCACACCGATTCCGTCAAGGTTCATCGATCTTCTCCTCTTTTCCTTGCAGGAAAACTGTATCGTATCGGATTGCGCGAATTTCAGCCTCAACAATTATCAACATGTAAACTTAAAGATTCAAAGACATTGCAAAATAATTCTTAAAAATTACAAGAGAAAAAAAAAAAAATCCAAACTAAACTCAAAGTATAGACGAAAAGAAAAAATTTCTATCGATCACCATTAGCTTGGAAGGAATTTAATGGGTCATGAATTTTTGATAGTTTTTCAATGCTTCCACGGCTATCAATATCAATTATTTTGTGGAACTATGTTATTTTTTTATTTGTGAAATCTTTTATTTTTATTTATAAAGACCAATATCAAACCCTGATGAGAGAGGAAAAAGATATTTAATACAAAGTAGGTAGAGTTGAGAGAGGTTGGAAGCAAGTGAAAAAGGGGGGTTAACAAAAAAAAATATGGGAGACAAAAAATCTTAATTGGCGAGAGAGAGGGGCAAAAAGATCTTACCATAATTATGAGGGTAGTTATGGTATTTGAGAGAAAATAATTATTTATTTATAAAGTTAGGAATAAGTGTGTGATTTATCCATTCCTTATTTGTTTTTTGTTCTTTGTATATATATATATATATATATATTTTACAGTCATAGCTCAGTGCATCCCATGTGCTTTTTATTGGTATCATTAAATTTGCAACTCAAATGGAATGGGTAGGTTCAAAGGCTTGCCCTAGCTTAGTCCAGTCCAGGTATAAAATCTCGAATCGTGTGTCCAATCCACAATGTGAACTGATTATGATGATTCGTAAGTTTGGATAATTAATTTTACAATATGGATTAGGTTTGGATTGAAAATTCTCAATTGAATTTAATTAGATTTAGTCTTAAAATGAGGTGCCACCAATCGAGTGAATGCGAATTTTTACTCTACCTCTTTTTTTTTTTTTTCAAATATTATATATATATTTCAGAATTCAGAATTACAGTCAAGCCTTTTTCCCCAACTAATTCTTTGCATACTAATCATTTGAAGAATTTTTTTTCTTTTTCTTTTTTTTTTTTTTTTTTTTTACAAATTTTCAAAAGCTTACACTTAGTTTTAGAAATTATTTTATGCATCATATAACCAATTCCGATGTAACCTAACAGGCTTGGGATGAAAAGTTTTTATATCTTGGACGTTTGATTCCCAATTTTATTCGTGTTGGAGGGACGGGCCAGAGCGAACTGGTCCGTTTTGTTTGAGAGTTTGCACCCTAATAATTAGGATTGAAGCAAATCGCGTTGAGTTTGAATTTGTTAAGACGGCTTGCTCTTTTGTGAATTCAATTTTAACTCAATTGATTATGATGAACTTGAAAAATTGAGCTCGGACTTAATTCCTTATATATATATAAAACATGGATATCATGTTCATGTTCAAACTCCCATCAACAAATTTAGCCCAACAATATTTTAGATCTACTCATTTAATAAATAAATTTAAAAATAAAAATCGAACTAAACACGTTTACTTAATAAACAGTCGATCCGAACATCTCATTTCCAACCCTAATAATAATGATAATAGAGGTGAGGTTTGGATTCTTCTAGCATCTGTTCCTTTGGATTCATAAATTAATTTCTCTCTACATTTGATGCTCTTTATATATATTATTTATTAACATTACATATTCCATAGGCTTATATATAACCTATTAACCATTACATATCTCAATTTTCAAAACTCCCTACAATTTTGTTCCCCATCTTGTCCTGGCAAACGACCACTCTGTTCTTCATTTTCAGAACACATCTAAAACCCTCCGTAAATTTCAGCAATTTCTCACTCAGACAGTCACACCCTTTTGTCTCCATTGTATGTTGGAGAAAACAATTGGTGACTTCGCAAGCCAAACGCTCCTAGGAGGTAACTATTTTTATAAACAAAACAGAGCATAGCAATAGAATGTATCGCCCTCTTTTTTTGCCCTAAACACTAATCAACTTTGATTGATTGCTTATTCCCTGTTTGTTTTTCAAAGTAAATATATTCATTTCTGTTGTACCTTAATTGTGCCCTCCAAAAAAAAAAGGTGAATTTTTTTTTGAAGTTAATGGCAGGATGGTCAGTTTTAAAAGATGGGTTTGCCTTAAACAATCTTGAATTTGACCTTGATTCTTCATTTGAAGGTGGTGGTGTTGATGGTTGTAGTGATAGACTGAGAAGGTTGTTTGACCAAGTGCTTTTGGTTTTTTTGAGAGAGGTGTCTGTAAAGAAATGTGTTCGGCCCATTCCGGCATTGCTTGGTGATGGGCGATCTGTGGATTTGTTTAAACTTTTCTGGGCAGTGAAAAAAAGAGGTGGGTTTGATTTGGTGACAAAGAATGGTTTGTGGTCTCCTGTGGCAACAGAGTGCAGGTTGGATGTTGGGGTTGTAGTGTCAATAAAATTGGTTTATTTGACATATTTGGATGGTTTGGATCAATGGGTAAAGAGAGTCTTTAAAGATAAGAGTTTGAAAAATGGAGAGAGTGAAGTTGTTGGGAAGTTGGACTTGTTATCGTTGGAGTTAGAGAGGGATTTCAGAGGTATATTGTCGAATGGATCTCCACTGAAGCACAAAGATGGTAAAGTTGTTGAATTTGAATCTAGCAAAAATGCCGACTACATTGATTCGGATAATTATAATAGGGAAATGCATTTGTCAGATGCCGGAAACATTAATAAAGTGCATGACAATGCACAGAGAATTCCTAATGATGATGACAAAAGATTTTGTGTCGATAATGATAATGGTGTGGTGGTCTCAGATACAGGTAGTGATAAGAAAGTATCTAATTCTCAAAAGAGGAAACGAGAATCCTTTTCTTTGTCGGAAATGCTGAATTGGGTGATGCAGGTTGCTAAGCATTCCTATGATCCTGCATTCGGTAGAACACCCGAGTGTTCTAAGTGGCACGAGGATGCAAGAGAGGATTTTCGGGCCCAGGTTTTGTTGGCAAGGGAGGCACTCTATATAAAAAGGCAAGTTAATCCTCGCATTGAAGAATCCCTCTTGCAGGTACAAGTTTGTTATCATCTTAATTTCATTCTCTTTAACCTTTCAAATTTATAAGATATAAATCTCTAGATTATTATGCTAGTTGGTGTTACATCTTGATCAAGGTGTTGGTTTTTGCAGCATGATCACATTAAAAATACCAAGTTCACATGCATAGGATAGTTATCATATCTTAAGGGTGGCATCTTTAAGTATTTATTTGTGTGGTTCTCGCTTCCTGGAATTACTAACCAGAATGAAGTTTCAATTCTCATTCTTCCTTTTTTATATTATACCTTTAATCAAATAAACATCGATCATATGATGTCATGTTTCCTTACTTCTTATGCAGCAATGTGTTAAATCAGTCTCTTTTATAAGAATTAAACAACAATGACAACAACAATAATGATGGCAACCAGAGTTTATCTAACCTGTAGTTATCTTTATTAGGAACTAGCTTCCTGAAAACCAGAGTTTGCTTCATCATACTCTGCAACTTGAGCATTTACTTTACACATGCAATGTGCTAGTGAGATACAATTAACTATTTGTAACCTTAGATTCTTTCGCTTGAAAAGGATCAAGTGATACATGGAGTTGAGAGAATAGAGACTTAGGTATTGACATCATTGCTGGCTCAATTCAATTTGAGGCATCGGTTCCTTGAATTCTAAATATTCATGTATCTTTTCGCTTCTTCTTAGCAATCAAAATAAATTGTACAAAAAGTTATCTCATACATATATAAATGCAAATGAACAAATACGAATGCTCATAAAAAAATTCAATATTACTTCCCATATATTGAACTATAATAGCATGTAGATTACTACTTTTGATAAGAACAAACTACTTAACTTGAAAATGAATTAGAAGAGCATAAGAAGAAAATTGAAGCTCAATTAGGTGAATTACACTCACACCTGTTGAGGTTATGCCCTAATTACACACGGTGGTCGGAATGGCCTACATCACACTGACTACCCCTGTCAGCGTTAAACAACAAATGGACATTACTTTTGTATGAATTGTCATTTTTGCCCTTGGTTGATTTAACATTATTTTAAAGAAAAACTGTTACAACTTGAAAAGACCAAATTATCCCCTTGAAAAACCCAATATTTCTCTCTACCTTCTCTTTCCCGTCACCACCTCCTCCAATCTGCCACCACCACCGTTGCAGCCGACCACCTCCTTCCTATCTCTCTACCTCTCTCTTCAACACCCCCTCCCCCCTCCCCTCCCCTCTCTCCAAAAAAACCCTACAAAATCCCCAAACCAGTCCAAGCCTTATCATCATCATCCGATGACACCAAGGGACAATGAGAATGCTCTTAGCTGCGATTTTGATATAACTATAAACATACTCACGAATAAATGAAGATGTAGAAACTATAGGCATACTCAATGAACTCAACAATGCATTAATCCATCTATTTGGGGTTGGTTACATGAAATCTGTTTTACCATTCTGCTCTATCTAAGACTATAACTTCAATTAGATCAGAGATAATGATATGTTTATTCACTCTTCAACCCATCTAATTTTGGTCTTCCCATTCCTTAACGTTACCCATAATGTGGGCATCATTCTTCCTTACTTGTGCATTTATTAGTTTTTGCCACCCATTATCATACCCTTTTTAGTACCTTCATTAACCATTTGCTATAAATTTTGTCATAGGCCTTCCCCACCTTGTCTACCATTGGTGTACTTATACTAATGCATTTATTTTTAAATCAATTTGATGTATTGCAGCTCTAGAAATAGCAACTTAAGAAAAAAAAATCTTGTAAGTTGGTTTTGCCTAGGAGGGACCTACTTGTGACTCTGCATAATTAATTTGAGTAAAGATGAATCATACTTCATGCTTTTCTGAAGTTAGTAAGCTGGTGATTCCGTTTATTTTATGTTTTAACGAGTTCTAGGAGTCAAAAAATATTTTTTATAATTTGTAAATTTGCTGGTTTTGTGCCGTACTAGTGGTCTATACTCTATATGTCATATTCTAAGTCAGGAGTCTTCATTTGTGGACCTAAATCAGTTATATATCTCAAAATCCTGTAATATGGAGACAAAGTCATGTTAGATCAGGGACGGAGGTTTGGGGGGGGGGGGTGGTGGGGTGCGCATGATGTACATGGGTAGTAAGCTATTGGTTAAAAAAATTCTGAGGGGGCACTTTCAGTGACACTTTGTATAAAAAAATTTAAAAAAAAAAAAAATTCAGGGGGGCACGTGCCACCCCTGGTCCTATACTCCCTCCATCCATGTGTTAGAGACCAAGGATTACTTAGAGGTCTATATATGTATAATTATGTGATACTTCTGATTCTATAAAAACAAGTTTTAAAGAAAAATTTCAGCAATTGTGCCTTTTGGCGATTGCTTTTTGCAACTCAAACCCTTATTAGTGTGATGGCTAGGGAAATCTAGGAGTGATTCCTAGCTGCTTCTTTTACCTGTCTCAAATTTGTACTTCATTTTCATGCCTTTAAGTTTAAAAGCCCATGGCCAGATATTATTGCACCCTTTAAGCCCTTGTAGAAAAGACTAACGCATCCCTCTTTCAGTAATTTAACCACAACACTTGAAAAGAACCTAAATCAGCAAAGGTACCATACACGATTACTCTCCACAGCCCCTATAAGAGTCCTGGAAGTCTAGGCTTCCTTGCCTAGTTAAAACCTAAACTGTCCTCTTTCTTACATCTGTTCTAAATCCTAAAACCTTCCCCACCTACTTTTACCCCAAAAGAAGGACTACTAATAATAAGATCTGAATGACCTTCAGTAAAGTTGTCTTGCATCACATTTTATTTTATTTTTTCCCCAACCTTACTGCTCATCTGTTAAAACTTCATTTGAGCCACACCAGTTGTCAAAAAATTTATTGATTGCCCAACATTTTTTTTATGATGGACCATGCTTATGGTTGTTTATACCTGTTGTTTTAATTAATACATCTTTATCGAGCAATGCATCAACTGCAACTTCACCCTTCATATACAACAACCCAAAATACTTGATCCCAAGATCGTTCTACTCTGTTGGACTAGCTTTTGTACCTGTCCCCTAATGTGTGAAACATGTTCCCTAATTCTCACTGCACGCGAGTTCTGAAAACTGACAGGTCGCTTTGAAGGAATGCCTTATTCCAAAATCCTGACATTTATCACTACACCATTTCTATTATAGAACACAAGCTGGGAACTCATAGATTGATGTTCATATGGTCTGAGTTGTCTGACGCTTGACTTTTGTACTTGTCCCCTAATTTGGACCGTGGTGGGTCCCACATCTCTTGTGAGCCAACCGACTATCGGTTGTCGTCACTTGTATCACGGTTCCTTTATTTGACATTTTTTTCTCTTATGGAAGACCCAAAAAGGTAGCAGATTAATTAATTATAGCCATTCTCGCTTCTACTCTGATTTTGCTAAATTAATATCCAAACATCCTTTCTAAGTCTTCCTTATCTGAAAAACTTCTGCTATTAAAAGCATTGGTAGGTACAGGGCCATTAGCCCAGCTGGTATCACCTCCCCCTCAAAGGGGAGGTGATCGGTCAAGCGACTCAAGCCCCATTGTGGGCATTTGTGGGTGTGTCTCGGTATTAACCTTTTTTTTTTCTTAAAAAAAAAAAAAAAAGGAGAAGAAGAAGAAAAGAAAAGAAAAGAAAAGTCATCAGTCTGTAATTTAAACCCTTACTGACTCTGTAGTTTGCCACCTTTCTGAATAGGTGGTTGTCAAGGCCATCCTCTTAGATCATTTATTATGTCTGGTAGAATCACGATGCAAAAGGAAATACATTTATGATGTATATGGATGAATTTACCTTTTTGGTCAGATTGAGAATATAGGATTCTTTTGTTTTTGTTTAATGGGAAAATATGGGAGCTTTGACCTGTAACTAATTAACCTTAACATGGGACTTCTGCATTGAGTTCTGTAGCTGCAAATATATGGCCGAAAATGATGATATTGACAAGCTAAAGTAATTATTTTGATGGAAGGCCAAATATTGATGAGGGGAATCAAGGTAGCATAAAAGTCCAATCATCTTTAGTTAAATCAGATATTGCATGTGATGGGTTTTTGATGAAGTGATCAATGTTCTATCCAAGACTAAAGTTCCGTGATGTAGGCTAATGGAGCTGTATCTTTGCTGGAAGAGCTGCATTAGATCCACTGAGATGAATAGAAAATTACTACCCCCACCTGGTTTAATCAGGTTTCACTTTTGGCTGGTAACATGGGGCTTAGGCTAGCTTAATATTTGGTATATAGTGGATGATCTCAAACCTGCACCATTCTAAGCTCATTTGTTACCGAATCTGAGTTAAGCTCATATCGTATAATTTTTATTTCTATGCATTCTATATGGTGAACATAGATAACCGATTGCCTGTCCCCCTACGGACTGGTTATTGAGCAATATGATAATCATTCACAATAAAAAAAAAAACAGGCAATCTGCAAACCCATCACAACAAAGGTTTTGAATTTGTTTAATAACATACAAATGATATAACAAAACAGTTCTAAAGTGCAACTTTGTAATACACATTCGTTTCATGGTATTTTTCTTCATTGCTTGCATATTGGTATTATTCATGTTTCCCCCTTTATTTTAAACTTCTGGTCTGTTTTATTTGGATGATTGGATCTAATTGTTAAGTGCATTATTAAAGAAAATTACAGAAGCGATAAAGATAATGCCATTGATATAATCAATTCATTTAGCAACACACTAATATTACTATAAATAGTGTATTGTTTGTTATGCACATCTTCACCTGGTGGTTAATGAGATATGTGTATTCATTATTAGAAATTATTTTTTCTTTAATTATTAGAATTATGGGGTTAATCATGAGAGAAAAGGGATTACAGTTGGTGATACAGTCATAAATGTTATGAATGCACCTTATTAGACATTGATTTTCTTCTACAGAAAGGGGGAAAAAAGAAGAAAAATAAATAAAATCAAAATTACAAATTTTATGTAGGATTCAACCCATTTAGTTGGGGAAAAAGGCTTTATTGAGTATATATGATTCTATGTTAGAGTGATGTATAAGTTGAAGAAAATATACTTAAACCATAATAAATAAGTAAAACGAGAAAGTACATAATTATATGGTGTATTCAAAAGTAGGCATGCTTGCTTGTGCTTGTTGTCTTTGAACAACACCTGATGCATTCTTATTACTTGTATTTTTACAAGGTACCTCTTTTGATCATCCACGCTACAATCAGCCAATGTAAGTCGGAAATTTGATATGCACACAGCCACACACAAATAAATATATGTTTTGTGTGTATGCATAGTGAGAGGGTTTTTTTAATATTTTTTTCCATGGAAATTAGAGGGGTTTTTTATATTGAGATGAGAGAGAGAGAGAGAGAGGAATACATATTTAAAATGAAAATTACTCAAGACAAATTTAAGGTCAGCCATGTTTTATGGTATTCATGTTGGCCGTCTCTCAACTCCCCAGCAAGTAAACTGCAAATCTGGAAGTTGAAAGACAACGATATATTTTTATATTTTGTTGATTTCTTGAGATTTAGGTCTTGATTGGTAATAATAAAGTTGTAGGACCTTATAATATACCTATAGATGTGTGGAGAATTTAAGGTAAGATAGGAATTGAATGATTAACAAGTTCTTTTAACAAAATTCTAAAAGAAAAAAGAATGCTAAATAAATGTAGGAAAAATACTATAGTAACAATTTATAAAAATAAAGGAGATGTAAAAACTGTTGACATTATAGAGGAATTAAATTAATTATTATTTTTTCTTTTGGAAGGTAAAGCAAATATGTATATAATAAGGGAAAAGAATGTACAATGAAATGGGTCTATAGAGAACAAGGCCCTAAAACAAAACAACCCAAAACCCAATACGGGTCAAAACCAACAAGAGCCCCAAAGAAACCCAAACAACAAGTCCAATTAAATAATTGATTCACACAATGAAACATTGGGAGAGGATAATTGATCTAAGATTAATGAAAGAAATCTTAATATTTGATAATCAATTCAGATTTATGTCTGGTAGATCCACTATGGAAGCCATATATTTAATAGGACAAGTAATAGGAGATTGTAGGAGTAAACAAAAAGACTTGCACATTCTTTTTATAGACTTAAAAAGGGCATATGAAAGAGCACCTAGGGACACAATTTGGCCTTGCAAAGAAAAGAAGTCCTATGCATTCAGGATATGTACAGTGAAACTTTGACTAGAGTTCATACTACATGTGGAGAAACTAGTGAATTCTTTGCTACGGTAGGATTACACCAAGGATCAGTGCTAAGTCCATACCTCTTAATGATAGTGTTGGATGAAATTCAAAAGTATATCCAAGAAGACATTCCTCGGTGTATGTTATTTGCCGATGACAAAGTCCTACTAGATACTTCTAAAGAAACATTAGCAACAAAATTAGAAACATAGAGAAAGACTTTGGAAGCAAAAGGCCTAAAATTAGTAAAACTAAAACAGAATATATCAAATGTAACACATTACATTACATTTCAACACCAGAGAGATACTCGAAGTAACAATTTTCTTTCCTTAGGCTCATTTTTACAACAATATGGGGAGATAAATGCTGACTTTTTAAGTAGAACTAGAGCAGGGTAGACTAAATGGAGACAAGCTAGTTGCATCTTGTGTGGCAGACTATAACGACCCACTCCACCATATGGTATAATATTGTCTGCTTTGGGTCTGAGCTCGCACACAAGGTCGCCACAATCACCCCCCAGGGGCCTAACGTCCTCGTTGTCCACACTTCCAATTTCGGCTGGTTTAGACTCTGATGCCATTTGTAACGACCCACTCCACCATATAGGGTTGCAAATTAACCGAGCCGAGCTTTGGCTTGTTCGGGCTCGGCTCGTCAACTTCAGAGAGGTGCTCGGGCTCGGGTGAGCTTGGCCAAGCTGGGCTTGGCTCGGGCTTGGGTGAGGCAAAAATTTGACAAGCTCGGGCTCGATTACATACACAGCAACTACCGATTCAAGAAATCACCGTGATTTCTTCCATGAAATCCGATGATCTCCGACAAGAAACAAGTTCAACCGATCTCCATCTCCAACTAGAAAGAAAAAGAAAAAATACAGAACATGTATTCAAGATGAAATCAAAGCTTACAATGTTTTATCAACTCTCTAGCATAATCAACTTGATCTACACATATATTGCACTGCTGAACCTCAATATCTATTTGGGAGAGAGTCTTATTGCATGAGGATGGTTGCCGACGAGATCATGTGACGCAATTGAAGTCTGAAAAGAAGTCTTGCAGCTGTAGACATATATGTCTAGGTTTATTCTTATCTTTTAAGAGAACCAACGGCTGAGATGAATTGAAGTTTAGTGGCTGAGATTAAATCTGATTTGGATGATGGACTAATGAATTATATAATTATTGGGCCTTATTAATGAATTGATGGGAGTTGGGCCAAAATGGTATTTATATGTGCTAAACCTTTTTAATGTAGAATGATAAATAAAAATGGACCTTTAAAAGTTAACGAGCTTGTTCATGAGCCTAATGAGCCGAGCTTAGTGTTGCTCAAGCTCGGCTCGTTTGCTAAACGAGCCTAGAAATTGAGCTCGAGTTCGGTTCGTTTACTAAATGAACGAGTCCGAACCGAGCTTTTAACGAGCCGAGTCCGAGCTGTTCATGAGTAGCTCGGTTTATTTGCAGCCCTTCCACCATATGGTATGATATTGTCCATTTTGGGCTCGAGTCTGCATGATTTTGTTCTTGGGTTTTACCTAAAAGGCCTCATACCATTTGGAGGTAGCACCAACAACATGTATAACACTTCACCTTTCCACACCTAGGTGATGTGGGATTGTGCACCTGTAACCTGCCAATGTCTCGCACACGCCCACAAGGTCGCCACACAAATGAATGTCCAATTAATTAAAAGAAAATTTCTATTGGACGGTAATTAGGCGAGCTATATTGTATGGTGTAGAGTGTTGGGCATTGAAAAAGAAACAAGTACAATGCATTCATGTAACATAAATGAGGAAGCTACATTGGATGATGGGAGTGACTAGAAGAGATAAGATTAATAATGATTGTGTGAGGGGAAAATTAGGTATAATACCTTTTAATGATAAAATCCGAAGTCTTAGGTGGTATGGCCGTGTACAATATTCACCTGAAGATGCTCTGGTTAGAAGAGGTAGAGTTGTTTGTGTAGAAGGAGAACGACAAAGAGGCTGACCAAAACTTACATGGGAAGAAGTAATTAAAAATAATTTTAAGAACTTAAATCTTAGAGGAAAATAGTGTATACTAGGAAAGAATGAAAAAAGAGAATTCATGTGCCTGACCCCATTCATATGAATAAAGGCAAGGATGATGATGATGAAAGATGAACTACCAATTTGTTGGCAATTTTATAATATATTATGGTATTAACTTGCAGAAGAAGATGGAGATGCATCCTTCCACGTACGAGGGCAATGATGTTCTCAATCACCAATCTGTAGAGGGATTAAGATGCAGCAAAAGGCTTCCTTCGATGACAAAAGCTCACTTTTGTCCTTGTTGCAACTCAATCTCAGCCACTCAAAGTAAACCTGTAAGTCCTCTCAAGTCAAAAGTGGAGAGTCGGCCAAAGGGGCAAGCTGTTGCGGTTGCTGAGATATTGTCTGAAAATAGAATAGATGGTATGTCCGTGGATGAGCCCCCAGAGAAGCATGTTTCTGTAGGCCCTCTCTTTCAAGCTGAAGTCCCTAAGTGGACAGGTGTGGTTTCAGAGAGTCATTCGAAGTGGCTAGGCACAACGATTTGGCCTTTGGAAGATGTAAAACACAATTCTTTTAATGAAATGGATCCCATTGGGAAGGGAAGACAAGATTCCTGTGGCTGTCGTCTTCCAGGTTCTGTTGACTGTGTTAGATTTCACATTGCTGAGAAGAGGATGAAATTGAAGCTTGAATTGGGTTTGGCGTTCTATCATTGGAGGTTTAATCATATGGGTGAGGAAGTTTCACTTTCATGGACAATTGAAGAAGAAGAGAGATTCAAGAGAGTGGTAAGATCAAACAGTCAATTCCTCAACAAATGTTTGTGGGACAATGCATCCAAGTTCTTTCCTACCAAAACAAGGGAAAAGTTGGTGAGCTACTATTTCAATATATTTCTTGTACAACGCCGAAGCTATCAGAACAGAGTGACTCCAAAAGACATTGACAGCGATGATGATGAATCGGAGTTTGGATGTATAGGTGGCAGTTTTGGTTATGATGCAGTGAGAATTCCAGGCTCCAAATTAGTAATATGCACCCTGAATAAGCAGTGCACTGATTTGGAGTAATGCATTAAAAGTTAGTGGCTCAATCCAGGGGCGTTCAAATGAAAGCGGCTTTTACCCAACTTTGCTTGTACTATTTACTAGAGAATGATTCTGCTTCTTTGCCTTCACAGACAATCACTGCACTTCAACAATTTTGATGGACTGAGAATAGAAGTTTAGACTTGAGAGAGAACTATAGAGAGAAGTTGCACCAATCTGGTGGTGGAAGAGGTTGACCTGGTTGGGTTCTTGATGCTCCTGGATGGTCGAAGCGGAAAGGGCTTAAATTTTGAGGTGGTACTGGTAAAGTGCCTTTAGTTTTTGTGATATAGATCAGAAAATTGTAGCGCTGATCTCGTTGTATTGTGAATATTTGTTGTGTGATGCATACAACATTGTCCAATATGTTTTTGAGTATCAGATACATGTACTTTATAGACAAAAATAGATACAAATTTTCTTTTTGCCATCTAAATGAGGCACTTGTCCATTTAGTTTGTCAATGTCCAAGGATGTTGCTTTTGTATCAGGAATTATAGTTTATGGGACTCCCTCCATTTTTTACCCTCTTTTTTTTCAAATTTGGAACTAGTGCATTATCGTGTAGTTCGTCTTATGCATTTATTTTTATTTTTCTTCTACCAGTCTCGAAACCTTAACCTAGGATAAACGTAGACCAGTATATATATATATATATATATATATAATTTTACAAAGGTGGCAAACCTAATATATGACTACATAAAGGCACAAGTATTGGAAATGTTTTTAGGTATTGATTTGTCAAAAATACTTAGTTATATGGCTATTTAAACAGTCCAAAAATTTGAAGTAATTGGTTGGTAACATGATATAACTCCATCAGTTATAACTTAGTATAGCAATTTTGAAGTGTGGATCCTCAACAGAAATTACTCATGAGAAGAAGGAGAAGAGAACTACATAAGAGATCAAACATACATGGTTACTACAATCTGCAGGAGCTACTAGGGCTATAGAAGAAGGAATGGACTCTAAAGCTAGGAGTCCTGGAGTTGCCTTAGAACCTAATGCTTCGCCAAGTGAGATTGCAAGCCTCGAAAACTGTTCAAATGGTCGAAATACAAATAGACTGCAAACTCAAACAGGCTTGTAAGGGCTGATAAAGAATTGAATGTCTGTAGTCTTTGAAGTACATCAAATCCTCACCAGGCCCTTTTGTGACAAAAGCCTCCCACACTCTTTTTTTTTTTCTTTTTTCCTTTGAACATGTTATTAATGGGCTAAAAAGACCAGTTTAAGGATCTTACTTCTTTAGACAGTATTTAATTAAACAAACCAATATATGACAATTTGTCATGGTAGAATTTAGTGTAAATAAAGGCCTTGTGTAGACTCTAGAAGCAAGCAAATTCCTAAAAATTAAAAATAAAAAGTTTACAATTTAGGTTAGAAAATTTGGTTTTATTTCATAGACACATGAGATCTTTCTCTCTTTTAGGTAAGTACTGACACACATTTCACAAATTGTCCACTCCGATTTCAAACTCCTCACCTCCCCCTTGACTCTCGAGGGAGAAAATGTTATACCATTAAATTAGTGGTCCATTCGTAGATAGGCAAAGGTGCTCTTTGGTAAAATTAAAAAATTTAAGAGCGGTAGTTTTTAAGTTGTAATTATAAAATTAATTTTTTTTAATATCTTTTTGAATTTCAGTGTAAGTGATGTTTCTGTCACTTAAAATTTTACTCCAAATTTTTTTTATAGTAATAATTAAATTACATTATTAAATACACTTAATTAAATAAACACATGATATTTCAATATTATTTGTTAGGGTTGGCCACTGCAGTGTCCATATATGGTCCATACACGGACTCTACAAACTGTGAAGAAACTGCCTCAAAATTATGGGCTGAAATTCAATAAACAAATCCAAACTCAATCTAAATCCACCACAAGGGTCCAGGAGAAACCAGGCCGAAATACATTTTGGCCCAAGCTATTTGGATATGGGCTGCTTCACTTATCCTGGCCACATTTGCATGATACGAGTCGCCATATCGGTAGATACGTGATTTTTTTTCAAGTGTCCCACATTGGCCGGTTCGGTCAATTTACACGAATTTTGTCCGAATCTGTTACACCGCGACTGTGAACCATGGGGCAAACTACAACTTTTTTTAAAATTGAGGGAGCAAGTTGCAAAAAGTTGTACTCGTATAATACAAGGGTTATTTATTATTATTATTTTTTTCAATTAACCCCTAAAACAACACCAGAAGTATGATGCGTGTGGAACTTTTAATTGATTGAAACACAAAACATATTTGATTGTAAGATGAATTTATGGCTTGTGTTGTCTTGAATTTGTGAAGGGATTTAGTCATAGAGATTAGAATTACTCATTGATAAATGGAGGTTAAAGTATAGTAGCTTCTTTTACTTTAGTATTCTCCTTGAATTAAAGTAGAAAAAAATAATAATGAATTTATTTGAAACTTGTGCATCAATACAAGAAGGTAGTAGTTTAAGTTAAAATAATCAATGAGAATCAATTAAGCAATCAAATTAAAAGGTCCTAATTGGTCTCTTAGCCTTAATAGTAAGTTAGTAACTTGAGAGCCACTATGAAATAATAGTCACGATTCAAATCCTATGCCTTTAAATTATGACAAATAATACACTTGTGTAGTAAAATATGTGTATGGTATAATTAGTTCCAAGGGTAGGAGTAAAAGTTTTGATTGAGGCAATGCATTCTTGTAGTTCTTTGATAAATACAATAGTAAGTGCTTTAGTGGTTTAGTTGCTCTCCGTATTTGAAAACCTGTATTCGAGCGTTGCAACCTCCCATCCTCTTTCCAAAGGTTTTCGGAAGGCATGAATTTAATGTACCCTATACAAGGATTGTTAGTATATTGAATGCTGGTTTAATGGAAGAGCAATGGGGAGGTAATTAGCCTTTAATGATATAGAATTGACATTATTTATGATGTTTCGAAAATTAATTCAATGATACTTGAGTAATTTCCCTCCAGACATTATCTACAAGTTGAACTTGACAATTCCATCTACTGTTGTAAAGAAATAAATTATTATATGGTTTCGGGCCTTTGGCCACCATTGGTGGTCAAGTCTTTGATGCTATTACTTTTTTGACTTTTCAATTGTGTTAGTAAGCTTTGAAGAAATTCAGGTTAATTATTAACAAATCATATATTTATTATTTTATATTAAAGAAGAAAAAAAAGAGTAATTCTGATGGCAATGAATATCAAGTTATATTCCTTGTTCACATGCTTTAAAATGATATTTATATATTTATTTCCTTTTAATTATCCAATTAACCATCCCCCACAAGGACATGTGGTGTGCCTGGTAGGACCATGACCAGATTAAAGGCATCCCATTAAGTCTAGGGTTTCATGAGTGAACTACCCTGCTGTTGCCTGTTCTGGTGGACCCAAAGAGTTAAAATTTTAGCCATATCTTAGCCTTTTACTACATGGAATTAAAGTATAAAGTGAGTAAATCTTTATTAGCCCTAAAGTGAATCCTAGTGAAAGATATGAAATTAAAGCTTAAAAGATAAAAAGCTTACTCTAGTTTAAAAGGGCCTTTTTCCCACTGGATAATCTGTGCTTGTTTACACCCACATATATATATATATATATATATATATATAGAGAGAGAGAGAGAGAGAGAGAGATTAATAGCTTATGCAACACTTTCACAAGTTGTTTAAAGGGTAATTGATGGAGTTTCTTTGGGTCAGTTGTGAGATGATGAGCCAACCGTGCAGGTTAGTTCGAGTGGCGGGTAAAAGGGAAGAATTATCAAGGTGGGCCCAATCTTACGCAGGGTGCGCACGAAAGCCATTGAGAAGTGGATGGGCACACGTGCACACATTGACTAAACAAAAAGCTTCAAGGTAAAACAATAATAAAAGCACGACTAAACAATCCCAAATATATTTAAAATATACGAAAATCAGTGTGTGACTAAATAGTTTTGGCCCATTGTAAAGACAAAACTACCCCAAGCAGCCATAGAAATTAACGCACACCAATATAAGCTTCAATAATAATACAACAAATGAAGCATATTTTTGGGTTAATCCGTTTTAAACGGCACATACCGAGCACAAATTAGGTAATCGTGCAGTGTGTGCTGTTCAATAGAAGTCTCAAATAATAATAAACAATGAAAACACACACATATATATATATATTATAAGAGTATCAAATTAAGTATGACCAATAATGTAATAATATCAACAAGTTTGTTTATATATATATATATATATATATATATTATAGAGGGAATGGCAGTGTGTTTGGTGTGAGCCTTTTAGAGAGGAAGAGGGTATGGTATTGAATGTGCTAGTAAATTTCAGGTGTACCCATCAACCAAGGATAAATTCAATTCAATTCCTCAAAAGGCTATTTAAGTAATTTTGTACTATCTTAGTATATGCTCTCAAAAAAAACTTTTAAATTATTAGAGAAGTCAAGTGATTGCTCTGTTTGACCTCAAAACCGCCGATAGTTACATCATATACAGAGAGAGAAAAAATCGATAGAAAGCGAGAGAGATTTGCTTTGATTTCTTTTTGGTTTTGTTGTATGTATCAGTAATTTCCACTTTCTTCTCCAATCTTGTTTGGTCTCTGGGAATCATTATTTCAATTCCAAAATGAATTTTTGATCTCGTATTTGATTTTCTCGAGAAAGTTGCAAATTGCAAGTTTTTCTCGGCATGATTTGATCGGTAAACGGTCAGATTAGGTGATGAAACAAACAAATTGCTCGTGAAATTTAGGTTAATTTTTTGATACGGAAAGATGAGAGGAGTGAACAATACTTCGGAGATTATTAACGCTGCAGCGAGTGCGATCGCCTCAGCTGAGAATCGTGTGCCTCAAGCTTCAGTTCACGTAAGTGATTTGATTTGATTTAATTCGTTAAATTTTCGTCAAACTATTCATATTATTATCCTGATTTGGTTGTGTTAATTGAATAATTTGCTTTCAAAATATTATCTTTTTTAAAAGCTGCTTTTACGGCTCAAGATGTGTTGGACACAATTGCTCGTTGATTGTTTCTTTAATTTTTACTTGTTTTTTTTATTTTTTTAATAATGTAAGAGATCATAATTGTTTTAATTATTGTTTAATTGTGTTATGGTGTGATGTTGTTCTGATGCTGATTTCTGGAGTCTCTTTGAAAGTTGACTTGTGTTTTTGTCTGGTGGATTTGAAATTGCAGTGATTTGCTTTCCAAAAGCTGTTTTTTTGGTTTGTTGCTATATCAGAATGAGAGATTTTTAGTAATTTAATGTTGATTAGTTGATGATGGAACACGGTTCTTGAACTTCTGAGGTTCTCTTTGAAAGCTCTTAATTTTACAATACTTATGTGTGATGAATTTCTGCTACAAGCAAAGGTGCTTGTGATTTGTGGCATTGTTCGCTTACTTGCTTCAATGTCGAATTGCAGTTTGTTTTACTTTTTCATTATTACTTCATCTCTTTCACAAGTTTGTCAGTATTCATATGTGTTGCTCCATGAATAAGTTTGGAATTGGCAGCCTTTGCCGGTTAAATATAGCCCAATGTGTTATAGAGAAGAATGGGTATTTCTTGGAGTTGGAGAATTTCATGTCTCAATTTTTCACCAGTGTGTTTGAAGTGAGAAAGATATGACCTTTAATGTCATGAAGCTCCTCTAAGAATTTTGCAGTCAACTCCTTTTCCTGGAGTAATTTTTCTTTCGCTTTGTTTTGTTTATAAATTCTTTTATGGCTTGGCACTGACGTCCACCAAATTGAATCACGTGCATCCCTAAGTCTAACTGATGTTTAAACGAGGAATCTAGATGATGTTGCTGCTCAAAATTATAGAATGGCAAGGTATATCTTTAGGTTAAAATATTCATTCATTTTGGAGAACTGGGAAATTTGTGGGCAATTCCTTTACTCCTCAAGCTTTAGTCTTTGAGTCTATCTTGTTGAATAGACAGAGTAGTTATCTGTGAATAGGTTACAGAATTACAATATACGTTTAATTTTAGTATAGCAGAATAATGGATATTAACTATACATTTCATTTAAAAAGAAATTGGGGATATTTTTGTAAGAACTTGAAAGCTTGATCTCTCTCTCTCTATCTATATATATATATATATCAGTAAGATTGATTGAATGGAGTGCATGGTTAATGCAATACAGAACCATCAAGGGTCTCACAGACTTTATCCACTGGGATATGTGATATGTATCCTGAATTTGCTTCAGTAGATTCATTTCTTGTTGATTCTGTGTACTTAAGTAAGACAATGTTGTACTTCTTGTAGCATGGCCAATATATATATTTTTTCCCCTGAATGTTGTTGATTTTATGAACACATATAAACCAATGAATTACTGAGAGAAAAGTGATCAAGAGAAAAGACCAATAAGAAAACTAGTCAAGGGTATACCCCAGACTAGAAGAAACAAACTGAATTAGAAGAAGCAGAGCTAAAACAGCAAATTCAAATCAGCTAATGGCCAGTGTATTTTATATCAACTACTCTAGGCGACTATTTGTAGTTCATTCATTTCGTAATTCATGCCCACCTCTCATTTACTTTGATCTCAACATTGAGTCTCTGTCAACAAACCAGTGGATAAGAACATGATTCAATATGGATACACACACACACACACACACACACACACACACATATACATACTTTGGCAAGTTGAACTAGTGTGCCTGTCTATTTTGAATGTGAAGTTGATCTGTCTGCTCTAGTATCTGAGTTGACACCCCAAGTTACCTAACACTGTCCATTTTTATGATTTTAACCCATATGTTATACACTTATTTTTAGGAGTTACAGTGATAATTTTTGGGTTGGAGATGTACGAGTCTATGAAACTCGTGGGGTTCTCTTCCTTTTTTAACACAGTTGTGTCTGTATAGGTAGGGAACAATATGCACAAATTTAGGAAAGTAAAATTTGGAATATCAAGCCAGAAAATTTGGGACTTTCTGGATGCTGAGCAAGAAAAATGTGATTCCATATATCTAAAAGCATTAATTTGATTTAAATTGAAGGTAAGTGGTGTGGATTTTATGATTTTAATATTTATTCTGAATTGAATAATGATTACTGAATAATCAGATATCCTGATATTTTAAATATGAAGAGAGATTATTTAATGTTTAAGTTGCAGAAGTATCATATTGAATTCCTTTATGAAGGTGTGTTTGAAATTTACACATTCTGTTTAATAGAAGCTTTCCTTTTCCAAAAATGGGGCACTATATTTTTGCTGTCAAAATAAGGCTGTTTGGCTTGATGATTTCAGGTTTGAACCAATGTTGTGCCCAACAAATCTATTCCCATATTCCACCTGCATGTTTTGGTTTAATGTTTCTAGGTACTACATTAGCTTGATTTTTTGTTTTTTGATAAATACATTAGCTGGATTTTAAGTGGAGTAGCCAATGCAGTTTCTGTTTGTGCTTTCAGTTTGCTCTTGTTTCAATGACGTAGATTGATAGGCTAAAGTTTTCATTTTGGTACGTTTAACCACTGATTTTTTTTACCGCAAATGGACCTCAATCATGTGTGCAGCAAACCAATTTGTAATTCTCAAAATAGCAGAGGGTGGAAATGAGAAGAAAGAGAGTTAAACACCCAAGAGGCATGAGTTAAGCTGAGTTTTAAACCCTGCATGTTATGTACAGCATAAATCTCAAAACCCAAAAAAAGAAAGAAGGAAAAGATGTGCAATTATCCCCCAATGAATTTGACAATCTGATTGGGCATTAGAAGAGTAGTACAAAATAAGAGTGAAATATTATTAATTGTATATATTTTCAAGTACATTTTCTTCTCCATTTTCACAACTAATCTGATATTAGTCTATTTGTTCATATTCTTTCGCTTCTTAGAAAATATCAAATCCTATCAGATGATTGTAATTTGTAGATAATATCTAAACCTTAAAAATCTGTTGATGCTCTTTTTAATTTCAGAAAATAAGGTCCAAAATTCGACATGTTTACGAAATTTCAGTAATTATTTTAAAGTTGAAATCAGTATTGTTTTTATCTGTGCCAAACAGCCATCTGGGTTTGATTCCTCAAACTTGTCTTTTTATTTCATCTCTGTCATGCTCTCTATGGTTTTAGAAAATGTAGACGCATTCTGAAGTGTGATTGCCCTTTTGATATATTTGATGATGAAGGAATTGGAGTTGTTTTATTACACCATCCCCATATAAATTTTACTTTAGAATGCTTAGCTTATTGCTTCAGTCACAGTAGCTATAAATGAGGCAAGTCTAAAATAGTAGTCTTTGGTGGCATAATATGTAAAACTATTTCGGGATCATTGTTTGCTTCATTCTCTTTAAGTCTGAGATTTATTTCATGTTGTTCATATTTGTCTCTTAATCTCCAGTTAGATGCTGAAAATTCTTGTAGTGTTTCCTATTATAAGTGCATGTTATTGATACAATCATTGGTCCCATTCAGAAGAGAAGATGGGGAAGCTGGTGGAGAATATATTGGTGTTTCGGATCTCATAAAAACACTAGCAAGCGAATTGGGCATGCTGTCCTTGTTCCTGAAACAACTGCCCCTGGAGCAGAGGTTCCTGCGGCTGAAAATCCAACCCACGCATCTCTCATAATACATCCCTTTGTTGCACCACCTTCCTCTCCTGCATCTTTCTTTCAATCAGAACCTCCTTCTGTTACCCAATCACCAGCTGGCTTACTGTCACTCACCTCTATATCTGCCAATATGTACTCCCCGGGTGGGCCTGCCTCTATTTTTGCTATTGGCCCTTATGCACATGAGACCCAGTTAGTCTCACCCCCAGTGTTCTCAACCTTCACCACAGAACCATCGACTGCTCCCTTTACTCCTCCTCCCGAGTCCATCCAATTGACAACACCTTCCTCACCTGAGGTGCCATTTGCGCGGCTTCTTGACCCCAACCACCAAAATGATGAAGCCGGTCAGAGATTCCCTTTCTACCACTATGAATTCCAATCTTATCAACTTTACCCTGGAAGCCCGGTCAGCCATTTGATATCACCAAGCTCGGGCATCTCCGGTTCTGGCACCTCGTCGCCTTTTCCTGATCGTGAGTTTGTTCCTGGTGGCACTCACTTCCTTGAGTTCCGCACTGGCAACCCTCCTAAGCTCTTGAATCTTGACAAGCTGTCCCCCCATGAATGGGATTCACGACAAGGATCTGGTTCTTTGACCCCATACGCTGTGGGGCCTAGATCTCGTGATAGTTTTCTTCAAAATTCTGATGTCACTCCATTTGCAAATTCATTCACGGGATGGCGGAATGATAAAACTGTTGTTGATCATAGAGTTTCTTTTGAGGTAACTGCAGAAGCTGTTAGATGTGTGGAAAATAAGCCAGCATATTTGTCAGAGGCTGTATCAGCATCTCTAGACAATGCAGTTCTTGCTGCTAAAAGAGATGAAAATTCAAGTGAAATGCCTAATGGTCATAACTGCCCAGCTGGTGAAGCATCAGACATCACCCCAGAGAGAGCTTCTGTAGATGGAGAGGATGGACAGCAGCATCACAAGCATCGTTCATTAACTCTCGGGCCTGTCAAAGAATTCAACTTTGACAATACAGATGGAGGAAATTCTGATAAACCTAATATTGGCTCCAACTGGTGGGCCAATGGGAAGGTTCTTGGGAAGGAGGCCGACGCAACCAAGAATTGGAACTTCTTTCCGATGATGCAGCCAGGTGTCAGCTAACTTGTCCGAATCTGCTTCTGCTTCAATGGAGCATGTAAGAAATTTGTGGTTTGGCTTCAATTTTCCAAACTCGGCAAGAAGCATCTTGGCAATTTGTGAAATCAAAGTATAGAAATCTACCGGGCTCTAGATTTGAAGGGTTTCGTTGCTGGACTGACCAATATATGAAGGCTCTTCTTTGAGCACTTCCTGACCTAGAAAAAGAAAAGGCGAGGTGGGAATATGTTGGGATTAATATCGACAGTTCATTGCTTTTCTTTACTTTAGGACAAAGCATAGAAAGTTAGAAACTAACAGCACTTCTATATATAGTCATTTGTAATCTTTCCTCGTGTAATATGTCTATATGTATGATTCATAGAACAAGGGTAGCAGTGATGTTGATGATGGAACATTTTAGGCAAATGTTTTGTGATTTGAATAACGGTCTTTTTTCTGAGTTTATGAAAGTTACTTTTAGATTATAAAAAATTAAACAGGTTTTAGAAATTTCTCCAGCTTTAGGTTGACCATTATTACTCTCCTTCTGCTATGCTTCTCAATTGTCATGTTGGGAAAGCAACCTGTTACCATAAAGAATTGTGACCTGTGCTAATATTGCTGTTTCTCAAGTCGTACCTTGCCGGCGGCTACTGGTTATTATTTTAATTATTTTGGAGATTTCTTGTTTATCCCAACAATCTAGGATAAATATCTCCTTGACTTCTTTCACCGTAGGTCGGACTTAGGCGGCTGATGAAATCATGCATGACTCAAGATGATAGAGCCTTTGGTGGAGAGAACCAGCCATCTTTGACTAGTCATATATAGCTTACGACAATTGCACAACTCTAGTTTGATTTTGCTAAGAGTCATGATTGTGGCCTTCGTTGTGACCTTCATATTCAATGTGATTTGTCAAACCTCATCCTAACAGTATATTCGATAACAAAGCAGTTGGTCTGATAGTGAGACACAAGTCATTTTTTTTTTTTTAAGTTATTGCAAATACACACACCTGCGGTATATTTTTTTGCCTATACCAAGGGTCATCGAACACTCGATCTCTCAAAAAGAAAGAGAAGCTTATATCATCTTAGCTAGATTTTATTAGTGACACGTGTTCAAGTTATCAAAGCATTCCTTAAGCCACACTTTCTCTCAAAACTACAATCTCTCGTGCCAATAAAGATGAATTTGGTTTCTTGTTGTTTACACACATGCTTTTGTGTAATGGATTAAGAGGTGAGAAAGGGATAGTTTGCTCGTGCAGTCAACGAAAGGGAGTTATTCGTAAGCTAAAGCAAACCTGATTCTCCTGGCGTTATGGTTGGACATGGATTGATTCTTTACTTGAATGGAATTTTCTGAAGTTTCCTGAGCTTTCTCCCATTTTCGGTCAAACAATTTTTGTTATGCCGTACAAGAGGATGAATGCAAGAACGAATTCTAGACCTGCTTTTATCCACATTTATGGATTAGTCCGGCGCATTTGGAACAGAGGGGATTGCATGTGTCTTTTAGTAAATTATGGGTTGCTCTAAGTAGCTTAACACTACTATTATATAAAAATTATATATATATTATGATTTTGAAGGAGAAATAGACAAAATTGGAGCTAATTTTTGAACGAAAAATTCAAATTCTCTCATGTTTGCTTATGTTTACATATGCAAGAAGGATATAACATCTTGCAACATATTTATATTGAAGATACAGTATATATGAAACATATTGCCTCGTGTTGCAACAGTGTAAATAAAATTAAGAATTCAACAAATTTGTATAAATATTACATTATTAATTTAAAATTGTTATATTAACGATTTAAAATTGTTATTTTTTTTTTTATTTTGCTGGCACCGAAACTTACCTAGAATCTCGAAGGAACCCATCCCAAACTACAAATCGAGAATACTGTAAATGATTCCATACCTCAGTTAAAATTGTTAGTTGTTACAATTTAAATACACGTGTGTGTTTTTTTCTTTCTGGCACAATGTAAACCTAACTCAAACAAATTATGAAACGAAATCTGTCCATATATTAATACTACAAAATAGTCCACAATGTCCTCTTCTTTACAAAAACTTGGTCCAGGGTGGTGGACTGCTAAAACAATATCAACGAGCAGTTTTAAAACAAATTTTGGATGCCTTCCCCACTTGGCCTAACTTGCCCTTTTGTTGACCACAAATACCATTTTGACCTTCTAGACTTCCCATTTGCAACCGACCTTCCTACCTTGTCACCCTTTCAAAACCAGCCTTTTAAGTCTCTCTCTATTCCCATTCCTCCTCCTTCACCACCACAACCACCAATAAGACCAACACCAACACCTTCAGGGATTTTGGGGGAATCCAGTTCTAGGGTTTTTAAATTTCTTTCTTGTATATTGCAATATCACAAATATTAAGCCTTAAAGATGCCACCTTTTGCAGAATCAAGGTCTCCTTTTAATGGGTTGCAGCTAAATAAGCCAGACCCAAGCTCCAATATTGTAACCATTGATGTTGGTGGTCAGCTTTTCCAAACCACCAAGCAAACCCTAACCCTAGCTGGCCCAAAATCGCTTTTCTCCACCGTTTCCAATTCTTCCGATCAACATGGTGTCCCTTTCGTTGACAGAGACCCTGAATTGTTTTCAATCATTCTCTCTCTTCTCAGAACCGGTCATCTTCCATCCAAAGCCAAAGCTTTCGATCTTCAAGACCTCATCTTCGAAGCCCAATTCTACGGCATTGAAAGCCTCCTCTTAGCTTCGCAATCGAACCCATCTCAGTTTGAAGCTTTTAATCTCGAAAAATCATTGATTTTGCCGTTGAGTGGCCGTGACTCGCCCTCCGCGATCTCTACCACACCGTATGGGTTCGTTCACGTCGCGCACGGTAGCAAAATTACATCTTTTGATTGGGCTCTTCGAAGAAAATCCACAATCTTGACTCAATTCACCGCCGTCGATTCTCTATTGGCGTTATCGCCGAACGTAGCCGCGGCCGGAGCCACAGACTTTTCTGGGTTACAGATTCTTGATCTTGATAAGGGTTTGGTTAGAGAGACATTGAATTGGGAGAACGTGACAAGGTCTAGTTCAACAGTACAGGCAATTGGGTCATCTCCTGATTATTTGTTCACTAGTTTTGAATCCGGTAGGAGGAATTCGAATTCGATTATGGTTTTTGATATCCAGGGTGGTTTTCGCCCAGTTACCGAGATCGGTCCTAATGAAATTTTTGGGGCTGACCTTGATTCTGCTATTCCTGCAACGAACTTGAAGTGGCTTTCAAAACACAATTTGTTGATGGCTGCTGGGTCTCATAGTGGACCTTCAGGTGTATCCGGCAACATCAAGTTTTGGGACTTGAGGTCTGGGAATGTAGTTTGGGAGCTGAAGGAAAAAGTTGATTGCTTTTCGGATGTCACTGTTTCGGATAATCTTTCTGCAATGTTCAAGGTTGGTGTGAATTCGGGGGAGGTGTTCTACACTGATGTGAGGAATGCCGGTGCAGAGAATCCGTGGGTATGTGTTGGGAATAGAACAAAGGTGATCAATGGGAAGAAAGAAGGGCTTGGTTGCAGGATTGAAAGTCATGACAATCAAGTGTTTTGCAGTAGGGGAGGTGATTTGGAGTTGTGGTCAGAGGTTTTAGTTGGTGCTTCGAGGAATAGTGAAGATGGGTTGGAGGACAGGGTCTTCAGGAAGAACTTAATGGGGAGAGTTAAGGACGTTGGAGGAAGTAGGATAACCCACATGGCTTTTGGAGGTAACAAAATGTTCATGACAAGGAAGGATCAGCAATTTGTTGAGGTTTGGCAGAGTTCTGTTAAGGGATTTTGATCTCGAAAATTAACATTTGAATCAATAGGTAGAATACTGTTTATATTGGTTTCACATGTAAGCTAGCTATTCCTCAACGCTGTAAGTAGCTATTTGTAAGATTCATTTGGAAATGACTTTGTATCATGTCAAGTTTCCAATTCTTTATAAATGTTAATTTATATCATATGAGATTTACAGATCATTAATTGAGAGGAGATACATGTTGTTCAATGTAACCTATTTTCCCATGGCATGTATTGTGTCTTTTTTTTTTGCCATTCAGAATACTTCTTGGATTTCACAAACGATAATTCTTTTGTGTTCTTCGTTCATTGTGTTGATGATGACTTCGCCTCTGTAGCAAGACTTCACACATTCAAATATGGGTTTGTGCTTTCAAATTGTGTGGAAAACAAGATGGAGTGGTTTTATTTTCATGAGAAGCCCCCCATACACAAAAATTAGTGGCCATTGGCTATGCAGTTCATATTCTGTTGTTTTTATTCACAGTGATCCTATATAAAACCATGTCCTCTTTTACATGTTTGCTTGTTCTTTTAGAGTTCTCAATGTTCGCAAGAGATACTCCGTGTACTCGAACAACTATGGCTTTTATTGGTTTCTTGACAATAGAGTATAGACATTACTATTTGCCTCTGTAGTTTTATGAGATAGGAGAAGTTCTTTGCAGTTTTTAGTTTTTAAATTTGGCAGTGCCGACTTTCATGACTACATTCAGTAATTGGTATCAATATGCAATTAGTTGCTTTTATTTGCACATAGGAGTATTGGGCATGAAAGTAATCAGATTTATTGTACAATCTCTTACAATCACATGTCACTCATGAATAGTAAATGGTATAAAAGGACGTGTGAGATGATAAGGAGACGGAGGCACTGCCTGCATGAATTTTTTTGAGACATAACACTGATTATCTGAACATAAGTACCTGAAATTTGTAAAATTCTTGTTAAATTGCACTGGAAAATATTATTGTCATTGTGAATCTAAATTGTTTAATGATTAGACTGCATTGTGTCATTTGTTGTGAGATTGAAATCTGACGAGGGTCTGCAGTGTTTGGGTACGCCATTTTGATCTTGATGGTTTATGTGTCGCATACAAATTGCAGAGATGTTAGACTAAATGAGTAGATAGAAGGTCACCAATCTTTTTGTGAAAAATCAGTATTTCTTTTCCCTACTCACCAGGAAACTTGACTATGATATCAGTAAAATTTCAATAATAGAAACGCTAGTATCTAATTGATAAAGTCTCCCTCTTTATTAGCATTTGTTTACTTCATAGAAGTGGTAACGAGTGAATAGTAAGAAAAGCGTCAAACAAGGATGAGTTCCTGTCGAAGCTCTCTATCCTTAAAATCAGCGACTGTGGCAGCGATATGGACATCTTGCCTTGAACTGTTGATCATCAATCTGTTAATATTGATTGATGACAAATCCTCTCAAATGTCAGTTAACCCCCGGACAATATGGATTACATGTGCTTGCATCTGTTCTGGAAACTGCAAACCAGTGATCCACCTCTGAGGAGCTTGACTGTAGAATAGCAGATGGGAGAGGGTTACTTCTTGACATCTACTCGGACGAGAAAAGATAACTTGCTAAACTCTGCTGATCCTGACTTTCATTATTATTATGGGATCTTGTGACCCCTACATATTAAGTAGCATGGGTAGAAAATTTAATGTATCTAACAGTGAACCAAGTTTAGCTATTCTGGACCTGGTTAATTTGTTACGAGGTTTGTGTCAAAATAATTTATCTTAGTTGTGTTAAAAAATGTCACTGATTTGCAGTCTGGCCTTTTGGACACCATACGCAGATTCTTCACCATCCTTTCCTATTAGCTTTGGCAACAAGTGCAGATATTGGTTCCTCTGCAACACTAAGTATTTTGAAAGAGGTGAGTGGTGGAGATGTGATTCTTCTCAACCACAAAGGAGAATTTTCCTTCCCGGAGTTTTGTAAGTATGGAATAGAGGGTGGAAAATTTTAATGATCTGAAGGATGCAGCTCCAATACATTATGCGATTGTTAGAAAGATGGAAGAGATTGGCCTTGAAGGCTTGTGTTTACCTTGTGACCATAGGAATTGGTTTATTTTGGCTGCTGTGGGTAATCTAAATGTCTTCACCTGCACTTACTGCAGCACTAGCTTTTGTGGCCCTTGATTTCAAGGATTACCAGCGGTACCTAGAAAAGGTAATTATGTGTATATATTCATCCGGGTGTTGAATTTTATTGCACATTTTAGCTTTGAAGTGCCTAATGCTCCCTTTTCTTTCCCTTCTTGAATCAGGTTTCATGCTCTCCCCTAATATTCTTTTCTGGAATGTTTATCATGGTCAATGGCTTTAACAGAACAGGGTCACCTAGGATTTTCTGGAGCCTCATGCATGGATCAATCATGTTAGCTGCATGCAGTGCTTGCCCTTGTCATACTAGTCCTTTCTAATATTGCTTCAATTGTACCTACTGGTAAGTTGATGCTAGTCTTCTTTTGTTGTTATTTTGTATGCACTCAATCACATTAAGGTGGGAATTGAGGTAATTCAACCAAAAGTTCCTATATTAGCAGCACCATTTTGATTTTGTGTATGGTATTTCACCTTTCTTGGCATTTATGTACGATATTTACTTTTCCCATTGTTTCAGTACAATTTTTCTTGTTAGGTGTTTCAGTAGATTTTTTCCTTTGCGGCTCCATCTATTGCAATGGTAATCATTTTTTTTTTGGGAAAAGACATGATAAAATTTACACCATTAATTGAAATAGTAACTACTACAGCGATAAATGCGCTTCATCGAAAAGGTAAGATATTTGAAGAATTCTTGTTTTAGTTGGTTGCCTCGTCAAAGAAGCCACTTATAAGCCCTTGTGTTTTGGAACTATTTGTTTCAGTGGGAATTTTTTATATTTCGGTGGTTGCTTCTGTAAACAATTTTGCATCTAGTTTTAAATGTACCATCTTAGGCATTGATTTTTGTTGCAACAGAATCCATGGAAAATTTTGGAATTCTGTGATCTTATAGATGAATAAAAATGGGAGTTCTCTATGTAGTACAAATGCGATTATGTGTTGAAGTGCCTCTTATATTTGTTTACTTATCAAAAAAAAAAAAAAAAAATTGTCTCCTATATTTGAACAAATTCTATTGTTATAGTTGTCAGTATGGGATCATACAGGTTTATTTAGTGTTAGAAACCTTTACTATAGCATTTAGTTGATCATCTAACCTTATTCTCATTTATCTAACAATTCATTTTACATAGGAATGGTAGAGATGACAATTGACAACACAGTACATCTTGGAGCTTTAAGGATCCGTTCAGGCTTGAATTTTTAGGTTTCAATTCCTAGCTCAAAATCTGCAGCTTCTGCTAAACAAACTTGTTGATTTTACACTTCGCCTAAGGAAGATGAAATTGGCTGTGTGAGACACTTCCATTTGACATGCGGGGTGAAGTTGCCTGTGTATTTATCTACAGTTTCCCTGATGCAAGAACTGCTTTTTTGATATGTTAAGATGGAGAATCGGAGTAATCGGAGAGAGAAAATTTAGGAGTGAGCCATTAGTGAGCAAATAAGAGAAAGTAGACTTAGATGGAATTGACATATACAACACAGACCTATTAATGTGTTGGTAAACTAATATAAGAGACCAAGAGGACGACTATCATGGAATGAAGCTATTAGAAATGATTTTATATAATTAAGAGGACGACTATCATGGAATGAAGCTATTAGAAATGATTTTATATAATTAAATACTAGGGGTGTGATCGCTTGTAAATTTGCAATTCAAAAGAACGGAGAAAGAAAATTTTTGTGGCTGACTCCATTTATATGGAATTAAGGCAATGATGACGACGGTGGTAAGCTTTTTAATATATCAATTTTATATGGATGGAGTGAATGGTCTTCAGATCATACAGCTAGTAGCGTTCTGGGTTTTTATTTGGATCAATCACTGAGATGGATGTACTGACTAACCCTGCCAACTTCTTTACTGGACACTTTTTCGTCTCTGTTTTTTGTGTCAAATGAATTTAGTCGATACTTAATAAGCTCGCTTAATGGCTTTGGTCAAGTACGCCGTTGAAACTTGTACTACCTGAAGTGTCCGTTTTCTCTTGTTCTAGTCCTTCTGCTTGGAGCAAGAGTGGCAGCATCTGCTGCAGCAATGTCTCGAAGAAGATAAGAAAGCATGGTTCGTCTTGGCATGGTCGCGCACTCTTGCTGGAAGCTTGTCACTGTTGGGTTCGTCTGTAACCTGATTGTGTGCAAGCAATATCATTGTGCTTTCTTTGGCTATAATCTTTCAGTCTGGAGACATCTCAAGTTTTGAGTGCCCTCTACGCTCATAGTCTCAGCTGGCTTGACACTATAAACGTTGAGGATTACATGTTTCAAAGACCGAAAATCCGCTAACACTCCAACTTCTTACTGAGTAGTCTATACTAAACTACTTATGATATAGCTGGCAGAATTGAACATACCCGAAGTCCGTTTTCACAGGTTTGGATTTTATCCTGAATTCCAAAATGGGTCTGATATTAATCTTCCTTTAAAGTTCCATCATAGAACTGGGTTGAATCTAGATATGAGTAAAATAGCTCCATCAAATTATAAAAATTTGGCAAGAATTTGGGTTCATGTGAATAGCCCCATCGCTTCCCTGTACCAAGTCTATTTTCTGGAAAGAAGATAGTACAAGAGAAACGAAAAGGGTTGAAATCATGTGGCAAATAATCGGCCTTTTGTTGCAAACTTAGAAATTTTGGAAGCTTACTTCAAAATTTAAAGGTGTTGAGCCTTTAAAATCCTGAAAAAATGGGGTAGGTGGTATATGGAATTGTTTAGTTGCTTAATTTGAAAAATAAATTTTAACATCCTCAAAATAATTAGGATCGACACTGAGACAGGATATGTGATAATAGAAATACACAACACTAATTAACATGGGGATCGACACTGAGATGGGACATGTGATAATAGAAATATAGAACACTAATTAACATGGGGATCAACACCGAGATAGGACATGTGATAACAGAAATACAGATCATGGATGTGATAACATAACAGACGAATATATTAGCATGTGAGATCTTAAAAGGTATGACATAGACACCACATTGACATACCTATTTATAAA